GAACGGACGGCACTGATACTGAACGGATGCGTGCAAATAGACGTTTGAGGTTGCGCCACGACAGAGCCGGATTGGTTAAACGAACTACCAAGACCTACGTAAAATTCATATCGGTGTGTAATTACGTCACGTCGTTTTATAAGCGACTTTTTTGACCATTCTCTCTTATTTTGAATATAATTTTTATGGTCCATAATAGGTATGCAAAACAAGAGCAATTGTCAGCGATACATTTTTTTTTTCGGGTTAGTTGGTATATTATGCACAAAATATATAAATTACAAAACAAATAAAACTTGAAAAAAAAAAACGCCCGACTATAAACAGCAAAAGTAGAAAAACAAACTAATCTAATTAAATTTATCGTTAAACAAATCGTTTGATGTATGGACTGTATCATGTTTGAAATTTGATCGGTCAATTGGTTTAACAACAAATCGTTTCGTGTATGGGCTACTTTAAGGCATATTTATGGAGTGGTGGTGTGGCTGAGTGGGCTGCAGCCCCCCAAAAATCGGCCAAAATTTTAAGAAAATCTAAATATTATTTCCGTGGTCTATGAAAGTTGCTGCAATAGTCTTAAATTGCATTGTATTGATTTTAAAATCGTATCTTTATTTTGATAGCTTATCTTATCGCTCATGGTCAAAACTTTACCATGGGAAAACGAATACTGGAAATCATAGATTATAGCTGATACTATAATTGTATATTATAAGAATTTATTATATTATAAACGCTCCGAAAATAATTTTATCAATAAATATTAGATACTCAAATTTTCAAGCATTTTTATTTAGTCTAATAATTTTATCCTCAAAGTAAGTACTTACTAAATAAAAATTACGCAATAACTCGCCAAATTAAAATGTCTATATTAGTTCAAAAATGACTCAAATATTTTGAAAATTATACTACATTTAGAAAAAATAATCACAAATTTTCTGTTAAAATGTTAAGTCTCTATGAGTCTTTTAAACTTTATTACATTACAAATACAAAATTTAAATAATAACATAATTATTTTACTAAATTTTCACGTAATTTCTACGTATTTTTGAATTTGCTCAATTTTTAAATAAAGCAAGGAGAAAATCAAAAAAATAACATTGTTACTCATATACTCTTGTACTACATCATACTTTTGATTTTAATACAAATTTCACGGCTTTAAATCGGTTACTGATTCATGTTAAAAACCGAAAACAAATTATTTTCAAACATTTTGAAGCTTTAACTGGTTACATCAATTTAACCAGTAACCTTATTTTGGTACGATACGAAAAACCGAGGGTTGTTTTGTTCCCTACCCTAATGATGAAATTTAACATGTTAATTAAATTTTCTACCTTTTTTGAGATTGCATATTATTTCCCTCTAATGTAGACCTATTTTTTTGACAAATCTGTAAGTAATCGACTAAAAATATCTTATTAGGTATCTCGTGGAAAAAAATGTACCCAGGTTTATAGACATGCAAATTAAACTAATGGATAGGTTAGATTTAAATGCGCTCTATATAGGACTACCTACTAAAATAATTGTGAGTCTGCTCCACAGATGTAAAATACTTTTAATAAATATTTTATATCTGTGGTCCAAGAATTAACATCCTAACCCAAGCTGTAAACTGCACTCTGCAGACAGCAGTGCAATCTAACATAATATTCCTAAACTATATTTACTGCCTCCTTGTATTTTTGTAATTTGTCATCCATCACTGATAACAGCGTCACAGCGATAAACGAAATATATTATTATCAATCGCGTCGTACCGTCGTGTGAATTTAATCTTGATAAAATTAATGTTCAGAATTTTAGATCTGATGTACCAACGAACTGCTAACAACGTACTAGTGTCAGTGTTTTATTAAGTGATTTGTTTAAGTGCACTAAATTAGTTTAAAATTTATAACAGTTTGCATTTTATTTTATAATGATTTGAGAGCTGAACTCATAAAACATCTCAATGCCAGGAAGTATGATAATAATTTGTTCACATTTGGTGTTTGTTATTTAATTTTAATTGTTTGATTAGAATGAGACAGTGACATTATTCTATTTTATAGAATGTGACAATGATAATCATTCAACATATTGAATAATTTATTTTGTTTTTTATTTATTTAGGTAACTATTTAACTTTTATAATTTCTAAAAATAGTAAATATAATAATTAAATTATATGAATATAAAATATCATTAGTTAATTTAAAATGATTAAACAATAATATTTTTGTTAATTTTATTAGCTGTATAAATTTTTTGTAATTTTTATACTTCACCAAAATGATTGAAGGCATTGTACTATTATTCAAAAAGCAGACATTTATCTAATAAATATTAATAAATTTAAATTGTTTCAAATGAAATCAAACCTAAATGTAATCCAACAAATAAATACATTAGTATGTTTACACGAAAATAATAAATTCTTAATATTGTATGAATGTACATTTATTTACTTTAAAATTACTTTGCTGTTATACCAATTATAATACCTATGTCATATATGTTAAATAAGATCTAATTCTTAAAAGTCATCAGACATATAAAAAGTTAAATTAAATGTTTTCTAAATAATAACAACTATAGGTAGGTAGTTTAACTTATTTAAATTGAAAATGCATACAATTTTTAAGCAAGAAAGAAACTATATTTTAATATCAAACTATATTGGTTGTAAAGATTAAAAAGTGTTCATTCTGTATACTGTATACCTAATTTTATATATTAAACTTTTTTTTTTCTTTGTTAAAATATTTGAAGAGCTCTGTTTATTACAATGTGATTGTCTGTTTTAGATGATAATATGATACCAATTCCCAATAACACAGATGTTGTGTGTTACTATGTAACAAAACACTCGTGGAGGGGCAAGTATGTTACAATAATACTATGATTTTTATTTAATCTATTTAAAATGGTTTATATTTTACAGATATAAAAGAATATTTAGTGTTGGTACTCATGGCGTTACGACATACAACCCAAATAGTTTGGAAGTGACCAATCGATATGTATACAACCAAATAATATCTATACAAGTAGATCCACAGAATGCTGGTGGTTTTGTGTTATCTGTTCGGGATAAGAGCAAACTTGACAAATTTAGATTTTCTACTGATTTTCGTTCAAATTTATTAACTGATGCTCTTAAATATAGACATCAATTCGCTGAACGTGGCCAGGAGGAAATATATGTAATACATTTTTTATTTATTTATTGTTTAAAAACTCTTATCTATTTATTATTGAATATTTTAGAATTATGCAGCTTTAAAGTATCATTGGTCAGATACTCGGCTCCCAGTCACTATAAATGTCACTCCTATTTCAATTGATCAATTAGATACTGCAACTGCTCAAGTTCTTGCTAGTTATCGATACAAGGATATAGAAGCCATACAAAATATTGAAGATTTGCCTGGTGGTTTTGTTATTATTTCACGGCCTTATGGAAGAATGGTAAAAATAATAAAATTTTAATTTTAATAATAAATAAAAACTAATAATTAATAATTTCTTTAGCATTTATTTATCAGCTCTAATCGAGAAGAAATATTTCAAAAAGTCAAAGAAAGAGCCATGATATACTTACAAATACCTATAGAATTTTTTCGACACAATATTACACATGATGATTTCTTGACCAAACGACTAGGGCGATATAGTTCAGATGAACATGTAACATCTGTTTGTGAATTTCAAGTAAAAAAAATTGGTGTTCCTAGACACCAAGAATGTCCACAACGGAGATTACTTTGCTTGAGTGAAGTATGTTTACTGGAGAGAGATCCTCAAACATATACAGTAGTTACATTAAGACCATTGTCATCTGTGTTTGCTTTAATACGAGACCCAGTTGATGCACAACAATTCTGTATCGAGTATGCAGATTCTTCATGCCGTTCATACACTGCTACAAATAGGTACCTATTTGTTAAATTCATGTGTACAAAATGTACATATTTATAAATAATATTTAATTTTTAGGGATTCTCTTCTAGCCACTCTATTAGATAGTGTAAGATCATCTGGAAATCATCATATTCATGTAAAACTTTCTCCAACTCCTCGAGATAAAAGACTCATACCATTTAATGTATCGCCAGATCAAGAAGTAAGAAAACTATACAGTTATATTATAAAACTTTATTTCATATTGGTGTCATGTAATTTGTCCAAAAATTTATGTTTGGATAATATATTATTATATTTTAATTTTGAAAAAATATTGTTTATTTTTTTTATTTTGATGGAAATGATTTCTGTGATTTACCATTGGGATGGACAAAAATCTATACATATTCACTAAACAATATTGGTTGTATCATCAATTGTGATATGTTTATTGTTTCTAAATTATCAACAGAAAATATTGATAATTTAATATATCAAATTTGATACATGTTTTGGTTATATTACTTTAAGAGTTAGCAAAAAGTTTTATTTCAGAAGTATTCACTTGCCATATTCCCAGTAAGAATATCATTAACTCATAAAGAATATTTGACTGTTATGAGATTCAAAGTTAAAATAAGAAAATGAAAATATTTTTAACATAGCAGTCTTCAAAATTATTTTATTTGTACAATATTATAAATTAAACAATACTAAGTCAAGTTGACTTAGTATTAAGACAATTATTGATTGCTTTTAATCAATTATAGGTTTTTGGAAGAAGTGGCAGTTTGATGCCGAATTTTTGGGTCAATTGTCCCATCTATAAATTGGGATGAGTGATTAGGAAAAAAAAGTTATGAAGTTATGTTACATAGTTTATACTCCAAGTCTTGACGTATAGAGTATTATTTTACCTATATTGAATATAATGTTTAAAGTGTGCTTTGATGTGTAATCATATTTTAAGCATTGAGAAGTTATTAATAGTTGATAATAAACCAAATTATAAATAAAATCAATAGATTTATAGATTCTAATGGCAAATGTGTTTTTTTTGTATTTATAAATAACTGTTATGAAACTAGGGTGTACTAAATTCCTTTCAAAATATAGAATTCTAGTTGTACCTAGATGTGTGGGTGAAGTTTCAAATGTGTTATTTTAATACAAATTGGTGAGTGTGGTATGGAGGTATAGATCAAACAAATATATTGCTTTCCCATTCATAAAAATAGTTTGTGCTGCCACTGGTGGTTAGAGGTATAATCTCTTAACAGTTAACTCTTGTTATTGCGGTATTTAATACTTTCTAAACTAATCATAGTATCATGTTCTTCCCATAAATTTATTTTATTTTTTTAGTCAGCATATTTCCCTCCTAACATTTTCAAATCTAGATTTGTGTTCATTAACTTTTTTCTTTCATCAATTAAATTGAATTGATGCAGCAACAGGACATTGAAAATTACATTTTTAGATTCTGAGTGGAGCGAAAAAGATTATGGTTTTACAAAGATGTTTATTTTTTTTTTTTATTTATGTGCAACTTTACTACCAGAAGACTTGATTTGATTTTTATGTGTAGCACCATTTCTGAAAGGAAATTGGCATGGGGAGGTACTTTAAGGATTTTATATTTTTCGATTTGTTCATCAAATGCGAAAACCGAAAAAAAAAACAGGAAAATTTACAATTTATTTTTCTGTGGACAACTTTTCTTCAACTTTTAATGATAGCAATGTTTCTGAAAATAAATTTTACTATGGAGGTACTTTAGAGAGATAATTTTTTTTCGATTTTCTTAAGAGTTTTCCCAGCAAATGTGAAAAAACTGAAATAAAACATGAGAAAATCGATACAACATTAAACATATATTATTAAAGAAAATATATAAAGCCTATTTAATTATTTTACTTTGCAAATCATCACTATCAACTGTTCTCTGCTCAGAATTGTTTTTTCGTAAGCAATGGTTTATTGTTGCTTACAGGTATACATTAAATTATTTATAACAGTGGCAGCATCCATCCTCATCCTAGGACATCTTTTTTTAAACCTTAGATCTAAAATTATACACTTGCATAATAGAACTTCTTTTTCTACAGTATGCAATCTTTGAAAGAATTTAATTTTTGTTATAAAATTGTAAATTCCTATACAGAAACAATAATATTTACATCTAAAGTTTTTTTTTATTAAAGTTCAAATTGTAATAATGTCACTTGAAGTAATAAACTCTTCTCATGAAATTTTTAAAAAAGAACCAAATCTATTTTTTCTTACAATTAAATAAATCAATTCAACATATTAAAAGCTGAATTAAACTAAGGGGGTTTTGTTTCTTTTTAAATTTGGTCATCATTAGTACAAAACTAGTTGAAACTTTTTAAGCAATTTAAATTCTTTGATACTTGATTTAATGTAAGTTAAAATTAATTTAATACTAGCTATAATAGCTTTAAAATTAACAGTATCATTTAAGACACTTAAGACTATAAGATTAAGCCGATGAGTAAAGCAATTAATAATTTCTTTGGTCCAAATGTGACCTTACTACTTTAATGATATTTAATGTGTGATCAGTGACTACAGCGTAAATTGTATATATGTGGTGTCTCTTGTCAAGTTTAATATTATTAAAACTATTAAAAGCATTCTAAAAATATTTCAGAGTAAATAAACTTCAGTTTTTAAGTTTCCAAACACAAATTTGTTGGACAATTTATATTTTTTACACTGATTATTCAAACGGTTTTACCTCCGTATTGTATATATGTTGTTTTATTTTTAGATTGAATCAAATCACTTAAAATGTATTAAAGAACCACCACCAAGAAAATCATTTGCTGAAGTTTTAGACAGATTTAATGCTAATATTGAATATAGTGGTTTAATACATTCTGTTTCTGAAGATGTAAGTTATAATACTATTATAAATATATATTACAAAAAAAAAAAATGTTATATTCATTATGCATATTATTTTTAATAATTATGTTTAAACATATTTATTCATAATTTATACTTGATTATAACAGAGTGTTATATTCTGTTTTGCAATACAGGATGATTATTTTTTTCATAAGCCATTCATTATCTCAAAAACTATTAACTTTTTTCAGAATCTTCTTTTTGGACAATTTAAGGTACATATGTTTCTAAAATGTTACATTAACCTTTTTTGTTCAAGTTGTTTTTGGTAGAACCTCTATCAACTATTGATTAGAATTTTAATCTGTAAATATAAAATTACTTAAAATATTATTTATATTATAATTATATTATATTTATAATTATTATTTCATAAATGTTTATTGTTGCAAATATGTGTTAACATTTTAAAAAGTATGAAACATTATTTAACAAAAATGATGTGTGAATGAAATAAATTCTAGATTATTCGTAATATTAAAAAATAGGTTGTACAAATTAGAATTTGTTATTTTCCTATTTAATAAGCTTTTTTTTCTTTAATAATCTTCTCTATTATGATCCATGATTTATATTTTACTTTTACCTGTCCAGTGAACAATATTACCGGCAACTTGTTACGATGTATAATAAGTAATGTGTTTCATTTTATTTTTTATTTTTTTTTTCTTATGATTTTATAGAAACTTTTTACTGAAAACAAAGAAAAGTTAATAGTTAATGCTTTGACATCAATAATTGCTCATCAGGGTGATCAGAATGAAATCACCGTTCAAGTATTAGAGGCTCAATTTCACGCTTTACGAAGATTATTTGCTACAAAAGCAGGATTTTCTACTTTTATCATGTTACCAGAGTGTGTAATTTATTATATATTAATTTTTGTGTTCCAACTATTAAATATTGTTTATTTAACTGATATTGTCATATTTATAATTATAATTTAGACTTAAAGACAAACTAGGAAGAAAAGTAACTCGAGCATTAAAACGTGATCATGAAGCTATCACTCATGCTGCTTTAGATATGATATGCACTCTGATGCAGCCTATGCATCGTGACAGTGATATAAGACAAGAGCAGCTGAATAAATCATCACTTTTGGCCACTCCTAGTTTTTTAGAATCGTTACTTGATATGTGGGTTGAGCATATTGTAAGTATTTGTTATAAAATCCTGAAAAATTAATAATTTAATAATTTAAACTTATTTATTTTTGTTAAGAAACGTGGAACAGGTGCGTTAGTAGTATCTGCTATGTTGGATATACTTACTTTTGCGCTTTGTGTTCCTTATAGTGAAACAACTGATGGAACACATTTTGATACATTATTAGGATTGGTGGCAAAACGGGGAAGATATTTATTTCAACTATTTCAGGTAATTCTGTCTGTTTAAAATAATTAGGTTAATTTTTTAATAGATGATAATTCTATATTTCATACATCATGTTTTAAGTGGGTTTTAAATGTTTGAACAAGACAATAATATAATTACATATTTAAAAAATCTTAATTTAACAATCAAACAATTTTTACATATTTATGAATTAAAAATAGCTTATATTTTTTCTCTTTCTAGTTAACTGTTGTTATGATAGAAAATTATTTAAAAAATGAATTTAATGAATTATATTGTAATTTTTATTTTTTTATTTAAAAATATTGGAATAATGGCTACTTTTTTAACAAATGTTAAGGTATAGTTTATGGCAGCGCTTCCCAAACTTATTTTTAGTGGCCTTAAAATTTAAATATTAACTTATATGCAACCCAGTCATACTTATTCACCAATACAAATTAAAAACAAAATAAAAAAATACCGTTCTTCATCAATTTAAATTATAAATATTAGTTTAGTTTATTTATTTTTAACATTTACATATATACAATTTGTCTTCATTGTTTTAATTCTCATTATTTAATTGAATATAAATTAATCTTTATCAATAAGGTTGTATAAAATATAACATATACTTTTATATAAATTCATATTGTCGTATAATCCAATGATGCCATAATTTATTTAATATATACCATACAACTATTTATTTGTATTAGTCATTTGATAATAAAAGTAAAATCATATTTAATTGTTGCCATTAAATTAAATTAAATAAAAACCAGTAAAAATAAATTGTAATACAATCAGTATTTTCAAAATATTATTTTGTATGATTAAAGTAAATTAAAAAAAAAGATAAAAATATGTCTTATTTATTTTTTTGCGACCCACCTTAAAAACATCTGCGTGACCCAAAGTTTGGGAACTGCTGGTTTATATTGTACACAAATAAAGGACTGGGGAAGAACGATAATAGTCAATATTCCTAAAATGTTCAGTATTGTAGTTTTAAAGTTTTAGAACTATATTAAATCATATATTCTAACCTTTGTTATATCACTGACTGTGATCTTTATGCCCCAACTTGATTCGCATATCAATTTGGTCAGAAACAAATGACAAAATGATAATATATTAATTATCCTATTTATTTTTGTTTTTTTACTGTTATCATTTTTCCCCATAGTCCTTCAAATGTTATTGTCATATATTATAGTTTATTTGATATAATTAAGTTATCTAATATGATGCTACTGTACATTTTTTATTCACGAATGATTGACATGGTAATTGAAATATAAGTTATAGGGGGATGTTTGTTATTTGAAACATAAAATATACAAATGTCAGTCTACTGGATACTTTTAAAATATTCACTTTTGTGAGATCTGTAAACAGAATTATTTTTTATTATTTTTTACCTATTTCATCATTAATTAAATTTTAAATGGAATAATATCAATGAATATTTTAAATTATAAAAGTTGTTTTACAGCATCCATCATTAACTGTAGTAAAAGGTGCAGGATTAGTTATGAGAGCAATAATAGAAGAAGGTGATGCTGAAATATCAGGACGAATGCAAGAATTGGCTTTAGCTGAAGCTGCATTGCCTAGTCATTTACTAACAGCATTATATACTTGTGATGAAAATAGACGTATGCTTGTACATAGACAGCTTTCCAGGCATTTAGTTGGATTGTGGGTTACAAATAATACTATTGCTATGGACTTATTATCACGGCTGATGGTAAAATAGTTATTATGCTGTTTGAGAATTTTAGTACAATCATATTCATATTTTATATTTCTTAATTAAGCCATCAGGCTTACTAAGGTTTCTAGAATCAAGCGAATCCATAGAAATTAGTGACAATGAAGACCATTTGATGACTAGAGATAATTTAAAACTTGCTCAAGATCATGCAGCTAAAAATCAACGAAATCCTCACTTAGTCGCTCTAGAAAGGAAATTTCGCTCATTGGAGAAGGAAGTTGAAATAGCTTTAGGGCACTGGGGAGCATCATTGGGTTTAGAAAGAAAAGAAGATAAATTACAGGCCCGTCCAATTGTATTACGAAGACGTAGAGAACGAATTAAAAGTCATGCAAATTGGAAACTGTTTTATCATAAATTCAATCAAAACCATACATCTCCCAGTTTATTGTGGAATCATCAGGTATTTTTTAAACTATTTGAGTATTATTAAATGTACTTTTTTTTTAAGTGATATAAATATGTTTTTAAATTGTCTAATAAATTAAAGTTACATAAAATTATATTTAAACATTTGATCAAAATATTATAAATTCAATTCAATTTATAAATTATCATTATGGAACAGATTTGTATGCACTTAAAATCAATAAAAAAAAGGCCTAAAAAATATTAAAAAGCAATAATTGTACATATTATAAAAAAAAACATACTTTACATGATGCGTGGGTCACTGTTATAGGTGAGAAATTGGGAAAGTAGAGTAAAGTAAAGGGAATTTAATGTTTATCTGTACACAACGATTAATCATAGCTAATGAATTTGGACAAAAATACAAACTTGAAAATAAAAGCATTACTTGCGTACATTTTTCTGTTTTTCCCAATTATTATGACAGCTGCTTAGAAAATTAAAAGACCTCCTTAAAGTACCAAGCGAAAAAAAAATTATTTCAGAATAGGTACTACACTTGTGTTACATCAGAACAAGATTTTTGGTAGAAAATTTGTTTACATATAAATATATAAAAATAAAATAAATAAACATCATTGTAAAACCAATACATTTCTTGCTTTGCTCAAAATCTAAAATGTGTACAAATTTGAACAGAATATAATTATCATACTTTTTGACAAAATTTGTTCCATTCAAATATAACCCTTCATTTTAAATTTTGAGTGAGGCAATACATATATTAATTATATTAATGCATTTCTGTTTGATCATAAACTCATAACCAATACATTCCTCATTTCTCCAGAATTTAAAATGCATATAATCATATGTTTTGTTTAATTTTATGATAGACTCGAGAAGAACTTCATGATGCTTTGAAAAAAGAAATCCAAGCGTTTAATTCAGATCGTCAACTCACTACAAATAGTTTAATTGCTTGGAATCATGATGAATTTGAAGTATTATATCCCAGCTTACAAGATGAAGTTTGTATTGATGGATACTATTTAAGATTACTGTTAGATGGAAGTGTAGATTTTGCAATAAAGAATCCGTAAGAAATATTTTTATATATTATTTATATTTTAACAATTCAAATAAAATTTAATTTCTTTTTTCAGTTTTCGATTTTTTTATGATCTATATCATCGATTTTTGTTAGCATTAAAAATAGAAATGAAATGTTTATGTCTCCAAGCTATGACTGTAATTTATGGACAATATTTTGAAGAAATTGGACCATTCACTGATACAAAATATATCTTAATAAAATTGGAAAAAGTATGTAAAGTTTTGGCATAATACATATTATTATGGAATAATACCTATATGTAATATAATATTTCTATACATAATATTTATTATATAATCACTAATATTGAAATTGGATTATGTAAATATTGTTTTGAATTTTTAGACTGTTGAAAAATTTGAAAGAGACAGGTTGCTTTTATTCTTAAGTAAACTTATACAAAATAAACAAAACGTAAAAGATATAATCGAATCAAAAGGAGTAACTATTCTTGTGGATTTGCTAACATTAGCCCATTTGCACACTACAAGAGCTGTTGTTCCAACACAAACAAATGTAATTGAAGCTGGACATGATATGTTACTGGACAATGAAAAACAGTGGTATTATGGACTGGGAAATGCTGATAAGACAAATGGTCCTATTACTTTTCAAGAGGTATACTTTAAAAATTAATTTAGTTTTAAATATTAATAATGGGTATAATTATTTTGTATTAGATGAAAACTTTATATGAAGAAGGTGTTTTAAAACCTATTTCTAAATGTTGGACTCCAGGATTGGAAGGATGGAAACCTATTTTTAAATTAAGCCAGTTTAAATGGACAGTAATAGCTAAAGATCAAGGTTATATGAATGAAAGTGATTTAGCTTCTCTGATACTGTCTATGTTGATAAAAATGTGTCAATATTATCCAAGCAGGTAATCATTTATTAAACTAGAAACCATAAGTTTGCAATACCATTTTTTTTAATTTTAACATTTAACATTAATGTGGGTCAAAAAAAAAATCTGTGTAATGAAAAATATACAATATTTTTTGGTAATCTAGCAATCTAGTATTATTTTGTGAGCTAAAAACTAACAGAGTGACATATTCCCAAGTACACATTTAAACCATCTCGATGTTCAACATTTACAAATACAAAATTATATTTTGTGTTTTTCATATCATAAGCCATTACTTACACTTACTTGTTGATATAAATAAATAAACCTCAAGATCAGGATATAAGATTAGTAATATCTTTTATGATCTGCTATAAGACATATTATGATCTATTTTTCCCAAAAGGAAGATTTTTTTTTTTTTTTTTTTTAAATCTTAATAAATGTTTATTATGTAATCATTATTTTTAATTTTATTCTTATACATTTTATTTCATCAATGTGAGCTTGGACAAAAATAATCATAATATAATTTAGTGGTAAGTCCTTATTAGTTTGAATAAATTAAATTTTTTTTTCCTCTCCAGAGACAATGATGGAGCAATTATTTGGCCGATTGCACGTATACGAAGATCTTTGACCGATACTCTTCATTTACCTCATGTAGTCCAGCTTCTATTGACTTTTGATCCTATTCTAGTGGAAAAAGTAGCCCATCTATTATGTGAAATTGCATCTGATAATCCAAATGCTGCCAAGTTATTCATGACTGGAGTATTTTTCTTTTTACTCATGTATACAGGTTCAAATATCTTGCCAATTGCTAAATTTTTAAGACTTACACATACCTGTCAAGCTTTTCGAAATGAAGAAGTAAGAGTATTTATTAAAAATATATTTTTTTAATATATAATATGATTTTGACTAGGTGCAAAGTGGAGAATTGATGCAAAGAAGTATACTTGGGCCTTTACTTCCAGAGGCGATGGTATATTATTTGGAAAACCACGGGCCTGAAAAATTTGCTCAAATCTTTTTAGGAGAATTTGATACTCCAGAAGCTATTTGGAATGCTGAAATGAGGCGCATGTTGATTGAGAAGATTGCATGTCATATTGCTGATTTTACACCCAAACTTCGGGGCAACAATAGAGCACACTACCATTATTGTGCTATACCAGTAGTGCGCTATCCACAGCTGCAATCAGAATTATTTTGTAACATATTCTATTTGCGGCATTTATGTGATGTGCAAAGGTTTCCAGATTGGCCCATTAATGATCCGGTAAGGTTCTGCATATAATATATACATACATCAGAGTTAGGTCATATTTTACATATATTCAATTTCTAGGTGCATCTTGATATAGATGTTTCTAGGTACATTTTTGCCTAAGATAAATGTATACATTTTTTTTTTTTTTTTTAGAGATGGGTCGACCTCAATTTTTTGTGACTGAACTTCATTTAAACAAATTTTAATAAAACCCAAACTGAACTTAGTTGGTTTTTAGTTTCAGTTCTGTTTGAAATTTAGGTATTTGAGTTAAAATATTGAACACTCTAAGTGTAGTTAAATTTCAAACACTTTCGAACCATCTCTATTTTTTTTTTTGTTTACATAAATATAATTATAATTATTAATAAATACTTTTAAAGATAACACTTTTGAAAGATGTCCTTGAAGCTTGGAAAAACGAAGTTGAAAAAAAGCCACCTGCTATGTCTGTAGACGATGCATATGTAGCTTTAGGTTTAGAGCGAGGATTTCATTATGATGAAGCCACTACAAGAAAAGCATATTATAAACTTGCCCAAGCTAATCATCCGGATAAAAATCCCAAAGGACGTGTAAGTAACAATAATAATTTAGTTGCATACAATTTTGCTATGCTTTTTTCTCTTTTCAAAATTTCTGATTTATATTATATTTTCTTGGAATATTTTCTGAAATATTTATGTGGATAAAGTTATTTTGGCTCTTCATACTAATTTATATCATTAATTAATAGTTGTAAAAAAAAAAACTAATCATATTTTTTTTATAACTGCTTAAATGTTGATGAAAATGTAAACAAATTTAATTAGCAATGTTCTATCAATGTGTACAGATATAAATTAAATGACTATAATATTGTTAATATTATTACTGTGGCAATAACTTTGGGATTATTGAACAAGTTAATTTGCCTTTCTTGGAACTGTGTTAAATAATTATTATATTTCCAACGGTACTCAAGATTTTCCAGACATTCTTAAACAAATGTAAATTCTCAAACATTATTGTCGTAATATTATTAAGACAATAATTTTTATTATTATTTGAGGATTTTTTTTACACAATCAATAATGAATTGTTTATGCCTTTTGTCATTGTTCTTTATTCGTTTAAAACTAACAAAACTACTGTAAATTCTATGTGGTAACAATAACCTTCTCTTTATACTTAATATTTATATGGCTAATATTACATAAATATTAATTCTTAGAGGTTTTTATGGGAAAAACCTTTTTTCTCCCATCATCATACTTAATTAAATCAATAAATAAAGTTCATTAATTTGGGGTATGGGATTTAATACTTGGATTTAAATATTAAACATTTGTGTATCAAGTTTTTAATTTATTATTAAGAGTACAGTATACTTGTATTCACTGCCCAATCCAACTTATGGGCAATATATCAAAATTACATTTCTTAGAATTTAAATTATGGTATTAATGTGAAAATTAGAGTTAAAATACATTTAACAACTTTTAAAAAAGAGAATATTTCTTAGGACTGTGGTATGTTTATAACAAATTACAATATAAAAAGTTAATTTTTAGTTATTTTTTAAAATAACCAACCTTTTTATATAATCATTTAAAAAAAATTCTATAGACCTTGGAAATATTCTCCTCTTTAAATTTTTTAATTTATGTTTCAACCTAAACACCAGATTATGTTTTAAAGTACATAATTTTGCTATGTTACTCGTGTGTTAAAAGACTATTAAATGCAAGTATAGCATCCTCTTAAGTTTAAGACTAACAATTTTTTTTTCCCCAATTATCGAATATTTCTATTGCCTTAAAAATTGATTTTTCCAGATTATTCAATTATTTGTTGCGCAACATAATCGCGCAGCTCCACTCTTAATGAATAAAATATGTATTTGATTATCTAATGTAATAATAATTTTTAATAATTTAGAAGAAATACATACTCTAAAATTATTAAATTATGTTATATGAACATAGTTTCTAAAATAAATAATTATAATCATTGTGTCTTACATAGAACATAAAATTGTATTCAATTTTTCTTTTTAGGAAATATTTGTTGCAGCAAATAGAGCATATGATTTTCTTTGTAGTAGAAGTCTATGGGTACATGATGGTCCCAATCCTAATAATATTCTTCTGATACTTCAAACCCAAAGTATTCTATTTCATCGTTACTCCAAAGGTTAGTTTATTATTAATATTATTTTAATTTTTTTTTTTTTTTTTTCAATAGAAGTATTATTGTTTAATTTCTTTAGATCTTGAACCTTATAAGTATGCTGGATACAAACAATTAGTGAAGACTATACGATTAGAAGCAAGTGATGAACAATTGTTTTCTAAAGGTAACATGTTGCTTGCAGCTGCTAGTGAGCTAACATACCACACAGTAAATTGTTCAGCATTAAATGCAGAAGAGCTTAACCGGGAACAAGGATTTATTGTTAGTATAATATGTATTTTACATGTTGTTAATTTTAAATTTTTTATGGGGTAATTGTCCAGAGAATATATTTAAAAAATGTAAATATTTACCAGGTATTTATTTCTATGATATAATAGTATATAATTCATTGGGATAAAAAAAATGTAAATCCCATTACTATGTTATGTTATAAGTTTAGTTATTATAACTACTACTGTTATGTAACAACATTATAATATTTAATTTATTGATCTAAAGTATACTTAGAAATTAGCTTAAAAGGCTGAAATGTAATTAAAAAATAACATTAAATATTAATTACTAATCAACAATATATATTTGACGAAGTGAAGTTATTTAATGTGATTATAATTTTTTTTTTCTCTTTTAGGATTTACTCGGAGCTTATTCTAGATGTGTCTCTGTGTTGAATAAATCATCAGAACAGTTAGAAATGTCCGTATCAGTTTGTACATACTGCACTCGTTGTTTTAAAGTAGCGTCTCAATTCCCTATGTGTCGTGAAACATTCTCTCAAATTCCTCAATTAGTGAATGATATCACTAGAATATTATATTTCAAGGTATTTTACATTTTATGAAAAACATAGTAAAGATTTATAACTTAAATTAAGTTTATAATTTCAGTAATTAATTGATTTGGTTTTTTGTGCTACAGTGAACATTATTTATAATAGTATTCAAAAAATAATAATGAACACATAAATATATTCTTACTATATCTTATTCCGTCAACATTCGTAGTTTTATAATGTACAATTTAATATTAATTTACGTGTGATTGTAATACAACCGTGTTATTTTATAGAACTTGCCAAAATTATGTTGTGATGCTGTAGATTGTATTTCTGCAATGGCTTCTGATTCTAATCTTCAAATGAATTTTCTACAAAAAGGTGCAATTTGGCATTTGTTAATGTATATGTTTTCATACGATTATACATTAGAAGAATGTGGAGTTGAACGATCAGAAGAAGCTAATAATCAGGTAAAATAATTTGAATATGTTTATATATTTTTTAATATTAAAATCAATATTTAAATCATTTTTTAGGAAGTACTCAATAGATTAGCTAAATTATCAGTAAAAGCATGTGCTAGGTTAGGTGGTTATTATGAAGGTGATTTGTCTACTCCCGAAAACAAAGTTGCAAAAACTTTGTTTGAAAAACTTCTTACACCATATGTTGCTGAACAGCTCTCTGAAGAAAATCCACATCAAGTAATTTTGTTCCTATACTATTTGAATTCATTTTATTTACATTAAATATATACTTTTAGTTACTAAAAATACTTGGCAGTAATTGTGAGACACCTTACATGGTCTGGGATAACAGTACAAGAGCTGAATTAAGTGAATTTTTGGATAATATGTGTAATCAAAAAGAATGTGTTAACTTGGAAACAATTGGATTAACATTTTCTAGTCATAGAAATGAATTAATAGTTGGCAATATATTTATAAGAGTATTCAATGAACAGCCTCACTATACAATCAAAGTAAAGAAATAATTTTAAGAAATTTTAATTTAATTGTTTCAATATATTTATTTAAATTAATGATATATTATACTTTTATAGAATCCTCAAGGATTTTTGTTGGATCTCTTAGGATACATAAAAGCCAATAATCCCTTAAATAATATTTTAGATGAGAAACGTGTTAATAGTTTTATTATGGTATTAAATGCACTTAATAATTTAATTCTAAATAACCCCGGTAAGTAAACACCTAAACAGATTTGTTTCTAAGACTATTCTTAATTATAATTTGTCATGTTATAATAGGTCTTGAAGTTAGTTGCATTGGTCATTTTGATTTACTGTTCAGCCTATTGCGCATTGAAACTATTCGAGTAGTGCAGCATTGTGCTTTGAATATAATTCTAACTGTGACTAAAAACAATGAATGTATCACAGATATTGCTAATAATGGAGTAATTATTTATGTTTTACTTTGTTTATACTCAACACCATCAGACCGAATGATGATTTTAGACATTCTAATCACATTATCAACGTCCTCAACAATTGTAAAAGACATATTAAAAAAAGGAGGACATTTGTTTGCTGTTGATTTGTTATGCAATGGTGATAACACTGATAACGAATCTGGTCTAAGAGATAAAAGCGCAATATTTTTGAGCCGTTTAATGACTGAAAAATTAAGTGGCCCAAGATTGCGTTTAGCGTTAGGACAAATTTTACCATTAGCTATTGTAGATACAATGCGAGATTTACCATCATCAACTGTTCGGTTATTGGATAATGATCAAGAAAATCCAGAATTAGTTTGGAATGAAAAATGTAGAAAACATATTTTTTTAAATATCAACAAGATCTCTAGAGAGTAAGAATAATTCTACATATTATCTTACTTACATATTATACATTTGGTGGTAGGAAATATATCTAAGCACTCTAAAATATAAATTAATTGAACTAGTAATTTTTTTTTTGTCTGAATATTTAAATGATTAAAGTTTAAGGTTCAATTTTGTAATAAAATTTTAATAAAATTTTTAACCGAATTCTGTTCAGAATCGATTGATCTTACCTTTCCAACTACCCACCTACAACACTAATACAAAGTCTCAATAAATTTCATCTTATAACTTATAACGCGATTGATTAACAGTACATTGGTAGTACTTTGGAAGCATAATATTTTCAATGTATCTTTTGTTTTCTCAAATAGAAAAATTAAAAAGTACAGTAAATTTACTTTACAAAGTAAACCATTTTAAAATAATACTGGCTTTTCTATAACAGTAACTCACGCAAGATGCTAGCTTGTTTAAGTAATATTATAAAAAGAGATAGATATACTTTGTATGTGGGTGGGCTACTGTTGCAGGTAAGAAGTAGGATGGTAGAGGAGAAATTTAATGTAAATTTGAATGCAACGATTAACCATTGCTAACGAAAAATGATTCTGAGCAAATATCACATTTTAGCAAAATAATGACATATGTATTATATATTTTCTTTAATATCTTTTTAATTTGTAAATATTTTCCCATTTTTTCTGGAGTTTTCTCATTTATTTGAAAAATCAAAAAATTACATTCATAAAGTATCACCCCAGTTAGATTTTCTTTCCGGAACAATGTTATTATTGTAAATCAGAGCAAAATTGCTGGTGGAAAAAATGTTCACAGAAAAAAAAAGTTATCTATGTAATAATATTTTGGACAAAATGTAATACCTTGTACTAAATTATAATATCTATATATCATTATTTATTCTGTTAATTATAATAATTATTTCTATTTTTGTAGGCATTACATGACACTTCGGAAAAATCCTATCGGCGTTACCAAGTTACCAGATACTAGTTTACTCATGGCATCACCTTCAAACGAAACAATTGTTGCTGGGGTTTATTTGAGATTATTTAATAACAATCCTGGTTGGAATGTTAGGAAACCAAAAGAATTTTTATCTGAACTTTTAGACACTTGTATTAGTTCCATGACAAAAGAAAAGGTTTGTTTTACTAAAATATGGCTTAAAAAAAAAAAAAAAATTATTTTAAATTTCAAATTTTCAACTATACATTTAATTATTTCAGAATGATAGATTAGAGATTGTAACAACTTCAATTGTTAAGTTATTAGAAGCACAGCCTCATCTTTGTGACCAAATTCCAGCATTAGGTCATATTCCTAGGCTTTGTTTCCAGTTATCATTGTTATCCAATCCTGATGTGCCAAAATCTGTGCTTATGATATTACATCAATTATCACTTAATGAGGTAATTATTAATACTCTACACAAGTTAATACATGTGTTGAACTTAATATGTTCAAAATATATCTGATTTTTTTATGAAAATATATTTACCTACTTACGACACCTTTAATCCTAATCCCCTTCTAAGTACTCTCCAGTTTCACTATCTGATATATGAAGTTTCAACAAGAGCAGGATACTTATACATATAATTATATATATACTACCTAATAATTTTATAAACCTGTATTTTATATAGTAAAAATAACATATTATTGCAGATTAATTTTTTATAAACTATGATTTTTATTATTTTTTTTATGTTGTATGTTATAATCATTTATCTCACTAATTAATGAATGATAAATATTTTATTCTATTTAATTATTCAATAATCAATTATCTATGTATTGTATTTTGTGTCCCCTCTACCTGTGAAATTTCAGTAATTTGACTAATTAATTATATTACAATTAATTAGATATGTGTGGGGTGTATATCACAAATTGAGTGTATTGGTCCAATAAAAAAAGCAATGCAAGCAAATTCGAGTTTAGTTTATGTCTCATCTGAAACTCTTAGTAGAATGTTTGCTGCCAAAAAAGATCACCTTGTAAAACAGGTATAAAATATAATTTATAAAATCCAACTATTTACTGATAATTTAAATTTTATTGTAATTTAGGCATTAGACACAGACTTAATATCATTTTTAGTGGGGTTGCTTGACGGTCGATTAGATGGTGTTGAGGGTAGCGCTAGAGCTAAAGCACAAATTGTAAAAGCATTAAAAACTATGTCTCTGAGTTTGTCATACGGTGGTTTGGTCCAAGCACAATTAGATAAGCTTCCGGCATGGTCTGCTTACAAGGATCAAAATCATGATTTATTTATATCAAGTGCACCTTCTATGCCTTATTTAATGGGTATGTTAAACTTTTAATTAAAAATAAACTGGTCTACATTGTATGTTACTTTATTTCAGGTGTTCAAAGTACTGGTGGCTATTTAACAGAGGGCCGATCAAACTCAACAACAAGTAATGTACCTCCCCCATTAATTAAAAAAGACTATTCTCCCTATTAACCAAATCTAAGACTTTAATATTTTTATATTTGGTTTTAAAATGTAGTGTTAGATTTTATTTAAATTACGAACAACTCAAAATATATTGTATTACTATTATTGCTATTATTTACTGTCATTTATATAATATTAATTTATTTCACATTCATATAACTTTACTATTGTGAATATATTTATTATATATTATTAATTATTATACATTATTTTATTCATAATATAATGGTTAACTAGTTAACATATTTAGTCAATATTCCAATAATATTTAGAATTAATTAATTTTTGTTTAAAAAACTGTGATAATTTTATTTTTATAATACCACAATAAATTAGATTTATAAGATTATAATATATTCCACTATTTTATTTTATATTATTTTATTCAATGCAATATTATCTATTATAATTTATGGATATTGATTGTTATTTTTATAATTATATTATCATGCATTATCGAATGAATATTATTATATCAAGTGTTTAAAATTAGATGTTACAGCGATTTGCTTTAAAAGTATTTAAAATTCATTTTAGTAACTACCGAGTAAATATTTTATTGATGATATGGTAGTATTTTTATAAGACTGGGATATCTTTTAAAATTACAACTACCATTTTCTTTTTGTATATATTGTTTAAACATTTGTCAGTGACAGAAATTAAAAATATTTTCTATGTTCAACATTCCTTCACACACAATGTTTTAATAATGTGTTCAAAGTGATATCTATAATATCAAATCCCTCTAAAAATATATTTTACAAAATAAAACTCAAATCTTATAATTTTGTTCTCGTATCTTTTTTGTACAATATATATGTATACATGTATATATATTTTAGATCTAATTTCTGTAACATCTAATTTTTAACATTATGTGTATATTATATGTTATTATTGATATTTAATACCTGTGTATCCACAAATAAAACAATTTTAAGAATTATAAAAAAAAACTTCTAAAATAAATTAATAACGAATATCAACTTTAAATATTTTATAGGATATTGGATGTAAAATAAATATTCAAACTAATACTTAATCGTTATATTATTATTTTTATCGAATTTTCCCCAAAAATGGAGATTATTGCACTAATTTGTGACTGTTATATTTGTTAAAACCCACCAAGAAGATTCAAGCATCAATAGCCTCTGGACTTCTTAAGCTAAATCTACATAGTACCTGCAGTCACAACAAACATTATGATAACTAATAAAGAAATGACCAATCTCACCGCTGAAGTGTCCTCACTGGATGGTTTTTTCTTTCATGTCTACATGCTTATAAAAATAAATCAATAATCTCTTCAGCTTATTGTATCAACTATGTACAGATTGTTAAATGTCCAAATAAAAAAATGTAAAAGAAATATACATATAAGTTACAAGTAATGTGGAATCCCGGATAATTTGAACCACGTATATAAACAAGTTAATTAAACTATTTAAATAAGTTCATAATTTTTTTTTATTTAATTTATTATTACTTCTCCTTTACCTTCATCTCAACTATTTGATGTCGGTACCCTCATTCTAAACTTCCACTTGACCCAATACCCGCCTCACATAAACCGGCTGTTCATATTTTCAATTGCAACTGACCACATCATAATATTAATATAACAAATTGATTAAAATTAAAAATTACTTAGTTAACCTGTTCATATTCGTGGTTCAAATGAGAATCTCGCCTTTTTTGTTTAATTATTTTTATTTAAACTACCCATAATTTTGTATTTTATTTAGTATTATTATTATTGTTGTTTTTTCTGTTGCTTATATTTAAAATTACTATTTTATTTTATACTCAAAAGGTACCTGTTAACTGTTATAAATAAATAATCATTTTAGGTTTAAATTTATAATAAAATTAGTTTATACCGACATATCATAAAACTGAGGGCAATAATATTGTGCATAGCACAAATATGATTAACTTGGTAAATACTTGGACAAGGCTTTAAAAAAATAGAGTCATTGAAATCTGCAACAAACTAATTGGATGATTGATGATGAAACAAAAATACAAATATTAATCAGGTGTATTAGGTTTACCAAGTCTTAAAGTTTTATTGGTATTGATTATTGAGTTCCAAAATTGTAAAAAAAAGACTGACATACTTTGTATGATGGGTAGACCACTGTTGTTGGTAAAAAGTAGGAAACATAGAATATAGAAGAGAATTTAAGGTATATCTGTACGTGACGATTAATCTTTGCTAACTAAAAACCATTCTGAGCGGAGTTCGATTATACATATTTAAAAGGCCGTAATATTTCAGATTTTCTTCAAAATTTGATATTAATATTCTTATAAAAAAAATATATTCAGTTCATTAAACTCAACTTTTTCATGTTGACCACAAAGTACTACTTATAATAAACCTGTTAAATTGTCAAGCGTTTCTATTTCGTCTAACATTTTTATCCACAAAAAGTACCAACCAAAAATATTACATAAACAAACTCGCAAAAATAAAATGTATTATAGCTTAAAAATAATGGTCTATATAAAAGGTAAGTATACTGTTTCTATCAAAATTTCAAGTCAATGAATATTTTTCAATAAATTAAAATAAAAAAAACAAAATTTAAAATTAAAGCATTAATTTCTTAAATTTTTCGATTTTTCTTTTTTAATATGAAAATCCCTTGGAAAATTAAAAAATCACCTCCCTAAAGTACTACCCCAGGAAAATTCCATTTCAGAAAAATTACTATACCTTATTTATACTTCAGAGCAAAATTTCTGGTAGAATTTTTGTACACAGTATAAAAAATAAACATCATTGTAAAACCAATACATTCCTCGCTCCAATCAGAATCTAAAATAATAATAATATCTAGGGTACCTACCCACCTATAAGTGTTACAAAAATAATGTTTATCTAGCAAGTTAATTTATGACATCCTGAAAAAAAAAAAAATGTTAAGTATAATGTTTAAATGTCTCGTACGATGTGTATAACAGTATTACATTCTGAGAGTATACATCCAAAATATATTTATTTTACAATGATATTTTTTTCTTGCCTGTATGGTGTATACCAACTTTTCTCTCATACATTTTGCTCCAATTTTTAAGTGAAAAATGATGTTTAGTTAAAAGTAAATCAGATTTTGATTTTCCTTGTAGATACCTAGTTTTCTTAATAATTATGAAAAAACTGGAAAATGTACGACTATAACGATTTCATAAGGTAGGTAGCACGAATCAAGATATCTTAATTCGTGGTAGGTACTTGATTTTGATTTTGTTTTTGTAATTCGGTTAAAAATAACTGAAGAGGCCTGAATACTTATAATAATTATATTAGCCTTTTGTGCACGTGGTAAAATGTCCAAAACATTGTATAAAAGTAGGTAGTTGTCTATGAGTTATCAATAGTAGGCGATTTGAAATTGCCGTTTGTTTAGTATTTTATTTGCGAGGTATTATGTAGATAAAATTGTTTGACCAAACAGAAATAATTTAAAATGTATCATGAGGTTCATTATATGGGAGTAAGTTTCTACTCGGGTGCGTTCAAAAACTCGTAGTTAGGGTTTACTCTTATCGGTCTTATCGGGTCTATTCCACAAATGACTCCAAATGAGATTACTTATTTATAAAAACGTAAGTTGGTATCGGTGAAAATTGGTCAAACCCCTGTTCCGCGCCCAGTCTTTCGCGCGCCGCGACGCAATCATACTACTCTATGGAAAAAACGCGAATAGCCGACACAAATACACTAATGAAACTTCTTTATAACTTGGAAACACCCATAATCAATGTTCTAAATAATAATCAAATTTATACAAATATTTTAGAATACGGTTAGTCATTTTTAATAACGAATTTTTACCTATACATACATACCATAAAAAAGTATTATTTTTTCATTTTTAATATATAGTTATTAATGGAATCATTTTTAAAGGCATTGGGTTTGGGTCTAAAGATGGCCGTGCGGATCATGAATAAGAACTTACGAAATGCATTATACAATTTTATTTAAATACTAGAATGTTACCAGTAGGATTTGATGTGATCGTACTGTTGGCAGCGACGACATTGAACCAAGTCGCATCCGATATGTGGGGCTTCTATCTTCACTTTGGTAAAACACATAGTTTTTTAAAGATGTCTTGGTTGTTTGATACGGGGTTTAGGTCTACGAAAAATAAGGGTAGAGGCTCTTTAGTTTGAGTTTTTAGTATGTTGGTGACGTTTTTGACTAAGAAACCGTTCGATTCAATATCTTTTTTGATTTAGTCGGTTGGAATTGTGTGATGAAGGTTCCTGATAACGATTCATGTGGTACTCTAGGTTATTTTCGTTGAACGTTTTTATTGTGGCGCGGTAAGAGTTGGCAGAAAGAAGGTTTATCTTAATGTTTTTCATTGTAGATTTACATAAAAAGCCCTCGTATTTTGTTATTTGATTTTAGCTATTACATAAATCGACGTAATTAAATTAAGCTGTAATGAAAATTGGCGCAGTTGGAGGTGGTTCTTTGATTTCGACGTTATCTTCGGCATCTATATTATCTTCCTCAATAGGAGGAAAAGCGACTAATGGAAGTGAAATTTATTGATTCGTTTATTTTTTGTAAGTGGTGAAGTTGGTAAGAGAATAGTATTAAGTGGCGATCTACTGCGTTTATTTGAGTCAATGCATTGCCAATTAAATTCGTTATCTGAAATGTCAGCCGGAATCGTTTCACCGGTCGCGTGCGTGATTGGTTTCGTAATAGTTAATGGATATAGGCATTTTTGCCGAGTGTTGGTGTCTTGTTGGTGTTCGTGGTGTGATAGGATGTGATTTAGGTCGCGGGGTTGCGGCCGTTGGCTGGGAGCTTTGATGTAGTATTTGGTTTCACGGAACTTTATGAAAAATAGAAATTGATTTTAAGCAGTTGTTTAAGTCATGTGATTTGAGAAGTATAGTATAATTTACCAGAATAGTACTTATTGAAATGAATTATCACGATAAGCGCGGAACGATAATGGACGTGCGCAACGAACGGCTGTCACGGCGTAACTGACGTCGACAAGTTTAAAATCGTAGAAATGTAAATCAAATTTTAAAAAAAGAAAGGTAATATAATAGGGACGGGTGCAGCCACTGATGTAGATGGGAAGTTAGGAAGATAGGATATTGACGGGAATTAAATGTGTATCTGTAAGGAATGATAAACCATTACTTACGAAAAAAACGATTCTGAGCGGAGTTCAGTTGATACTGATGCTTTATCAACAATATATATGTCATTTATTAGCAAAAAAAATGAATTGAATAGGCTTTATGTATTTTTTTTATAAAAATTTGTTTAATGTTGTACCGATTTTCCCAATTTCCCATATTTTATCTCAGTTTTTCAATTTTGATGAGAAAACTCCGGAGAAAATCGAAAAATGACCTCTTTAAAGTACCTGGCCGATTTCCTTTCAGTAAAGGTGTTGCACTAAATCCGAGCACGTCTTCTAGTAGAAAAGTTGCGCACGGGTAGAGAAAAAAATAAATAAACATCTTTGGAAAAACCACAAGCTTTTTCGCTCCACTCGGAATCTAAAATTCATCGATGAGGACAACACTGGTGATAAACTGTAAGTGATAATAATAATTGTTGTACGATAACGTAGTGGTCGGCCGTCTTACAGCCGTTCGGATTCTCCGTCTCCAGACGCTGGTCAAAGTATTGGCCTTTTTTCTACTCCACGGGCCGAACCTGTTTTCCCGCCGTCCCGCGCCCGCGGTCATTGCGCGTGGTCGTCGGCGGCGTTGTCTGGCGGGCGTCTACACGCTCTCCGCGGCGCTTTCCCCGGCGGACACCATTACATCACTTTACTCTTTGTCGGACTTCGTGTCCGCGTTGCGGTACGGACGTCCGCGCCGGCGGTCATTTTGTCGTATCCCCGTATCTTTTGACACGCGCGTCGCCCGACATTTCATCCGTGCGCTTTTTGCGCGTTACTGTCCGTGGCCCGTCAACGAACGAAGCGCGACCCCTCCCCCGGTCGGTGACCCTAAGGCGGTGCCGCGAAACCGGCGTGAGGTTGCTGCCGCACCCGCGGTGTACCTGTACGATATTATATTCGTGCGTTCGGTAATATCGTCCGTAACGGATAATTGTGTAAATCTAATCGAATAGCCGGTAAATAGCATTTATTCCGTCGCGTTTTTTTTTGTTTTATTATTCATCTGTGTCCGTGCGATACGCGTGCGTCGCTGGATATTTGGCCGGCGTAAGTTTTGCGCATATTTGCCCGTGGCCCGTCAGCGTACCGGTCCGAATCCTGCCACTGTCGGCATAGTGCACGAAACGGTGCCGTAAAACGACGTGTCTACCGAATAATATTGGAAAAAAAAAAAAAAGTCCGAATTATGTGGTAGGTACAACCGTAGTTTCGTAACGATGTACTACCTGATTTTGTATTAAAAATAATAATAATACAAATTATAGTACAACCACGGTTATATTATGTGATTGCAGCGGTGCTAGAATGCCGGCAGGAGGGGTTAAAGTCTGATGGGTAAAATGTAATTAAACAATTCAAAAGGCCTGCAAACGGCTATTTAATAAGGGGCAAAGTTTAGGCAGTTTCTAATGTCTGTAGCCGCCCGAGAACTTAGTTGTTGGTCGTAAATGATTACTAGTGTGAGTGTGGTCGACTGTGCGTTTACCGCCACCTGCCGCATCATTTCAGCAAGTAGGTATTTTGTGTTAAATCGTTATCGCAAATTTGTTTTTAGATATTTTATTATCATTTATCAAAATAAAAACTATTTTGTCGTAAAATGATTCTTACTAGTTTTTCAAATCGCAGTCATTGGGAAAAATAATATGTGCAATCCCACTGTGTTTGCTTACAACTATTTAACTATTGAACTTACGATTCTAAATGTACAGGACTTAAGTTAAATGTTATACAATTTTTTATAGGATAATTTATCAGGTATGGTAATTCAATTTATTATTATAAACAATAGAGTAGGTAATAATAATTAAATTTTGTTTTTGTAAATGCTGAATTTTATTGGTAATCCTCGATCGAATCTAGAATCAAACCTGTCGTGTGGAAATAGTTAAGATAGACACAATTCTCTATCCGTTATCGTGTTAATCCGTTAATGTGTTGGCAGATTGTCGATTATTTTGCGAAAGCGACTGTCGTTAGACCTAAATAGTAATTACTACAAGGAAATCAATTTGTGGTATCATAATAAAATTATACCCAACTATACAAACCCTACGGTTAAAAATACTGACATTTAACCATTTCTAACGAAAAACGATTCTGAGCCAAGTATGGTTAATAGTGTTGCTTTCAAACTTTGATATTAAAATTCTTATTAAAACAAATTTTGCATTACACACATTTTTTTTTTTACCACAAAGTAACATAACTTAAATTTTCTAGCATTTTTTTTTTTGTTCTAACAATTGTATTCATAGAAGTACCAACCGAACAAAAATTACGTACAAAAACCCGATAAAATTAAATGTCTATAAATAGCTCAAAAATGGCTACAATGTTTTGTCGCCATTTTATCACGTCTAGAAAAGACAAATACAAGCTAAACCATTGCCTGACGAAAGACGATTTCGAGCAATTCGGTAATACATAATTTGAAGTGCCGGAATTTTTTTTTGCGATTTTCGTTATAATTTGATTTCAAAACGTTTATTAAAAAAAAAAAAAAGTCATCCGATGATTTTAGATAGTTTACCACGTTTAGGTAAGTTCAGTATAAGTATTATTACCAAGTTTCAAGTCTGTACGTGTATTTATAACTGAATTACAGCAAAAAACTCCTAAAAATTAAAATTCCTTAAAAGCTCAAAAGTTTTGGCGATGATACCGTAAGAAAGTAAATCAAAAAATCAACAAAAAAGGTATCTTGTGATTTTTCGATAAAATCATTTTTTCTGGTAGAAAACGTCTGTGTTTTTATAAAATAATGAAATCGTAAAACTGTACGTTTTCTCACGTTTTTCGACACAAATTGGCATGGGCAACGCCAAACGTGGGACAGCTAGTATATATATAAGAACTTGTTCTTCAGTATTCGTCAATTTAAATATATTTAAAATATAATAATATGAATTTTATTATTGTAAATAATAGCTTATGTTGTTAAGCAAAAATATTCTATAGGTATATATATTTTTTATGCATTAAAATTGTAGCCAGAATTCATATTTTTGTAAATAGGTACATATAAGCATCATATATTTTCTTCAATAATTGTTTAACATTGTACCGTTTTCCCGGTTTTCCTGTTTTTCTCGGTTTTTGGTTTTACAAAAAATTTTTTTTTTAATCTACGCAACTTTTTACCAGAAACCTTTTCCGAAAGAAAATCGGTGAGTGGAAGTACTTTGGGTGGTCATTTTTCGATTACTTCAAATTTTCTCATCAAATATAGGAAACTGAAAAAAAACTGACGAAAAAAGCGAAATGTATGAAATATATCAACTAAAACATTGCAATTTTTTTTTCTGTGCACAATTTTTCATCCAGTAATTTTGCTCAGATTTACAATAATAGAAGTTTTGCTAAAAAGATATTTGACTAGGGAGGTACTTTAAAGAGGTAATTTTTCGATTTTCCTAGCAAATATGAAAAATCGGGAAAAACTTGAGAAAATCGGTACAACATTAAACAAATATTATCAAAGAAAATATATAAAGCCTATTGAATTATTTTACTATAATATTATGACGTATATATTGTTAACAAAGCATCACTATCATTTAAATTCCGCTCAGAATCCTTTTTTTTGTTAACAATGGTTCATCATTGCTTACAGGTATACATTAAATTATCTAAAACAGTGGCTGCACCCGTCTATATTATCCTAGGACGTCCGTTTCCCTCAAACCTATTTCAATAATATGGTTGAATTTAACTGTTTCTGAATCTTCGACATAAGGTCTTTTAAAATCATCAATATATTGAATTATGTCGATGATTTTTATTATAGAATTAAACATTATGTTTTTTATTACTACAAATGTAGCTATTTTACTTTATGCTTCATCCACTGTATATGATGAAATGGGTCCTTGGCGGCTTGACTCCTCGTAGTCTGGCCGTCTGGGGAACAAACATAACTTTGATTACATGGCAGTAACCTGTTTCAAAACTCTATGGTCCATTCTATGAGAACAGCTGATAAATTGACCTCCATATCATTCAACACATTTTATCAGTTGTTTACAAAAATTGAAAACTCAGTAATAATCACGTATCGGTAGTAATATTATTGTGTTCGTAGGATTTAATTTCAATTCCGGTCTATAAAAAATTGTCTGTTTTGTACACATTGCATATTAGTAATATTTTTTTTTCCTATAAATACACATTCTTCACTACAAAAATTGTTAACAAACATTCAAAACCTACCAAGTATGTTATTTATATTTTTTCATTCTTAATATATATATATATATATTGGTTCATTGTCTTGTTATTACTTTGTTTATATTTGTTATTATACAGGCCCATAAAATGGCAACCAGATTAAAATATTTGTGTTCGAAATGTATTCAATCCAAACTATATTATTCAAGTTTATTAAAAAATTTCCGTATGTAATTAAAGTTATTTATATTTAAATGTGCCTAATTTTTATATAGCCTTGTCCTTGTATTTTGAAGGTATAACCCATGGTCAATACACTAAGGACACTGTTCACCAACGTAATTTCCATACTTCACTTAACTATTGGAACGTAGATGACTCAGGAACCGGACACAAGGGCGACCATACGGGTATACTTTGTCCAAAATGCAAAACTGCTGGTTCAAATTTAGAGTTCTTTTTAAGTAATAATGTTGAAATGTTTACTTTACACATAAGTATAATTATAAGAGAATTATATTGTTGTATTATAGCTTCAAATCGGTTTTTGAGATGTCAACGATGTTATCATATATTCAAAGTGATTTCGACTGAAGAAAATAATTTAAAAGATGTTACAGAAGAACAAAATAAATATAAACCACCACCGATTCCAAAAGAAGTTAGTAATTATTTTAATAATCATACTTTTTAAATCAATGTTATCAATGAGAGTAATGTATATTTGTTAGTTGCAATATTTTATCATAATTGCACTTTTATTATTATGAATAATACTAATAAGTAATTTATATAGTTTTGAATTCAAAGTTCAACTATGTAATAGTACTGTAGGTAACACATAATAAATTAAACAACAATTTATTATTTTATTATTGATAATTTAAATTAGATAAGAATTTGCAAAACTTATTTTTAATTAAAATAGTGTACTTAATACTAGTAAATAAATAATTAATTTGAATCCAAACAATGAATTAACAATTGAATATTATAAAAATGTGTTTGATATAGATTTTTGTTAACCTGAACAAGTATGTGATTGGTCAAGAAATAGCCAAGAAAGTGTTGGCTGTAGCAGTTTATAATCATTGTAAACGTATTCTTCATAACGTTACAGGGCCGCAAAAAAATGATATGATTGATCAACGGTTACTTGATAACTTGCAAAATGCAAGAGGTAAATAATTTTAGTACTTTTATAAGATATATATTATATTCATACATATATCTATATTATTTATATAATATACACATACCTATACTGCCTTCATAAACAAAAAATGTCTATAAGTCACTACTAGAGGTCATTATTGAGCTCCAACCCATTATCTTAATAAATAAATATATATTGATTTAATAATTGTGAGATGTTTTATTTCAGACAGTTTTTCTATCAATCATACTTTTGGAATGCCACAAATGGATAATTCAAAAAATAGTCAAAAAGACGAAAATAAAGTGATTAACATGTTTGAAGATACATTATTAGAAAAGAGTAATATTATATTGCTGGGACCTACTGGATGTGGTATGAATTTAAAAAAGAAAATAATAATACAATTTTATTCTCATATTAAATTATATTGTTTGTTTTATTTAAGGAAAAACATTGTTAGCACAAACTATTGCTAAGCAATTAGATGTACCATTTGCAATTTGTGATTGTACTAATTTGACACAAGCTGGTTATGTTGGAGAAGATATAGAAAGTGTAATTGGAAAATTGCTACAAGCTGCTAATTATGATGTCGAAAAAGCCCAAACTGGTAAAATACGATAATTTAATAATTTATTAGCATAACTGCTCATTGAAAATATGTTATTCGTCAGAGGATCATTGTTTTTAAATTAAAAATAATAATCAATTTCCTTTTATTTTTAACCCTGTTTACTAACTCTAAAATTCAAGATTGAAATTGTTTAAAAGATATGTTTTTCTAAATTCTAAATAATGTATAGAAACTAAAATTTTTACCCATAATTTTTCTCAATAAATTTAATTTATTTTATATTTGAATATGATTTTTGTAAAAAAGAGTCCTATTAATTAATCGTTTTTAATATTTTAGTCTTATCAGACCCAGCTTAAAAGCAAGCTGTTTCTAAAATAATATAAAATTCATCTTTTTCTCCTTTACCTTCATCTCAACAATGTGTAGTTGATTACCTTCATTTTAAATCTTCCACCTTTCTCTTCCCCAATATCTCCTACATTTATTTTTATTATCGTTCTTACTGCTTCTGATTCCTATTTTTCTATGATATGCCTAAACCATCTTGGGCTATTTTATGTCATTTTATTTACAATCAAACTCACGCCGAAAATACTTCTTTTATACTCATTCTTAATCCTATATTTTTTGTCGCACTTCACTCATTTACCTAAGCATTCTCATCTCTTCTACCCTTATGTTCTGTTATATTCTTTTGTCTACTGCATGACATTCAAAACCATACAATACAACATAGTTGTCTTGCTAGTTACCGCTTATTGTCTAAAGGTTTCTTATCCTGTTCCTCCAAATTCATACTCTGTTTTACTTCTACTTATCTTTAGATTATCCTTCAAATACTACTCTCAAATACTTCCAAATTTTTTCTCATCAAAACTATATTACCTGTAAATATCGGGCACTATGGCACCTTGCTTTATATTTCCTATGTAACTTCATCTATTACAATAAAGAACAGGTAAAAACTTAAGGCTGACCTCTGATGTACACATATTCCAACCAAAAATTGTTCCATTATCCCACACTTACACTTCTTACACTAATATTTGAACCTTCATATATTTGATAAAGGATATATCAAATTAATAAATTATTTAGGAATTCCTTTTCTCATTAATGTCCATATCAGAACCTTCCTCAGCACTCTGTCATAAGCTTTCTCTACATATTATGTATTATAAAACTAATAGTAATAATTCTATTATAATAATATGTTTAAAACGGTTAATAATTTGTTTTAAAAATTATATTTTAGGTATTGTTTTCTTGGATGAAATTGATAAAATTGGAGCCGTACCAGGAATTCATCAACTGAGGGACGTTGGTGGGGAAGGAGTTCAACAAGGAATGTTAAAAGTAATTTTTTTAAAATATTTTACAAAACCAATAATATAGTCATATTAAATTTAAAATTGTAGCGTTTGGTTTTAAATTTACAGTGTTTTTTAATATTATTTTAATAATTATTAAATATTAATGTCAACTTCTCAGAAGAATGATAGCGATTTTAATTTAGGATTTTGGTTCAAAGAAAAACCCTTATATCTCACTTTTTAGGTAATTGATGTCTGCTAGTATTTGGGTTACCAATTTTCATGTCATTACATTTCATGTTAACAATTTTTAAGAATTTTTAAATAGGTAATCATTTTTAATTTTGATAAAATGTATGCTATAACTGTGTGACTCTTGTGAATTAGGAATATATTTGAATAACAGATTCATGTAAAAACTAATACAATATTATTTATTTACTATTTTGTTTATAAATATATTAAAATGTTATATCTATGCCATAGATGTTGGAAGGTACTGTAGTTAATGTACCAGAAAAGAATAACAGAAAACTACGCAATGAAACAGTACAAATAGATACAACCAATATACTATTTGTTGCTTCTGGCGCATTTACTGGTCTTGATAGACTTATAAGCCGCAGGACAAATCAAAATGTAAATGCTATAACTTCAAAATGTATGTTCTCAAGTTAACATTTTATTTTTATTTTATTTTTCAGAGTTTGGGATTTGGAGCAGCAATTGATACTTCTATGGGAAGTAGAAGAGCTGCTACTGATGCAGATCGCGCAGCTTCAGCAACTTCATACACTGATATTGAAAAAGAAAATAGTGAAAGAGATGAATTGTTAAAAAAAGTAGAGCCAAGAGATTTAATTCAATTTGGAATGATACCTGTAATTTACAGTTTATTATCAGAAATGCTAATTTACAAGAAATATAATATTATAAAATCTGTACTTACTCATTTAGGAGTTTGTGGGAAGGTTTCCAGTTCTTGTGCCATTTCATTCCTTGAATAGAAATTTACTTGTACGAATACTCACTGAACCTAAAAATAGCACAATAAAGCAATTTAAATTGCTATTTGACTTGGACAAAGTTGAGTTGACATTTACAGATGATGCACTTAAAGCTATTGCCTCTCAAGCCTTGGAAAAAAAAACAGGAGCACGAGGATTACGAGCAATTGTGGTAATTATTACAAAAACTTTATTATATTAAAATATTTAGTCATTAAGATAATGACAAAAATCAATATAAAAATGAATAATCAGTAGTAACATAATTAATATGTTACTTATGTAAATGTATACACAATTAATTATTTATTCCATAATAATTTTTGCAGGAATCAATTTTGTTGGACCCTATGTTTGAAATTCCAGGATCGGATGTTGTTAGTGTACATGTCACTGAAGATGCAGTTAATGGAAAAATGAATCCACATTGTATAAGAGGCAAACCAATTGATGAAGGAGACGCTAATATGGATACAAGAGCTAAAGTTGAATAAATTATTTAATTAAAAATAAACTTATAGACATACTCTAAAGAAATAAAAACAATATGTCTATGTAATATTAATAAAAAAAAATTGTGTGGACCTCATTTCAAGAATCAATTATTTCTTGTTAAATTATTTTAGTTTGTTTATTCTTAAATATTATTATTATAATGAAATGAACCTAATTATTTCATATTATATATGTAAATTGCATTATAGGAATATATTACAGTTTATGTATTTTTGTGATACTATTTAGTTTTTGGACATATATTTTATATGTAGATATTTAACATATATTGATTGATACTTATTATTTATTCATTTATTTTAATATAAAATTACTAAAAAAATTTTTTTTTTTGTAGTAAAATTATAATACTGATTTATTTATTAATATTGAAAGGGTGTAAAGAAGAGACTTATAAATTATTTAAATATGATCTTTTAAAGATCAAAAGCAGACATTAGAAGTATTTGAAAATTTTAGATGTAGTGCTAGCGGTATATGAAGAAAATAAGTTGGATACAGAGAAAAACAAATTAAGTTCAAATGGTGAAAGTAAAGAAGTAGTAAATAAAATTGTATTTCATTAAAAATGATTTATTTTTGCGTACAGTTGTAAATTAAATAACTATATTATGTTAAAATGTATAATTTTTGTATCCAACTTATTAATTTCCCATCTACAACAGTGGCACATTCATCAGCAGTATAATCTCTCTGGTTTTTATTTTTAAAATTGTTTTTGTCCGTATAACTTTAAGAAAGGAATTAAATGGTCGCAGTTTCTTCAATTTTCTACAGAAGATAAATAATTTTTGTATACTTTAAAGAATTGTAGAAAATTTACAGTTTATCATTTAAAATAATAACTTTAAATCATTTAAAGTTGTAAAACTAAAATTATAATATGCGAAAAAATAATGCTTTTTCTTTTTTGTAACAAAACCGCTCTGTTCCACCACAGAAAATTGTATTGGTGACCTCACAGAATCTGTATCAAATGATTTTCGATCCGAACTATTGAGTATTTAGTTTGGTTAAATTATTTGCAATTTTCATTTTCACAACTGTTCAATTTGAAAATTGAACAGTTCTTCACATCAATATAAAAAGTAGTTTTTAAAAAACCTATTACAGGAATCAGGGCAAGGAGCAAGGCAATAATTACAGAAAAAAATATTTAAACATTTTAAACAGAACAAAAGTTGTATTAATCAGATCTTGTGGAGACAAGTTATCCATAGTACCTACGACCTACCTTTTCTTCACCTTCATCTCAACTATTTAAGGTTGGTTACCCTCATCTAAAATTTCCATTTGACTCGATCTCCCACAATATCCTCCCAAACACCATTTATCTTCTTATCATTTTCAATCTCATCAAACAATTTATTTTTCGGTCTTCCTCTCTACCACTCTCCTCCTTACTGCTTCAGAATCCTCTTTCTACATGATATGCTTAAATCAACTCTCTCTATATTCTTTCATTTTGACTTATCGAAGCCACACCTAAACTAGGTTTTTATAGGTTATACGTCTTTTATAGGTATACACATCGCTTAACCTATCTTCTCTAGTCTCTCCACTCATCAGCTTAAGAATTGTTATCTTTGCCACACTCATTTTTTGTTCTATTTTAGATTCTGAGTGGCGCAAGGAATGTATTTGGTTTACAATGATGTTTATTCATTTTTCATTTTTTTTTTTATCTGTGAACAACTTTTCTCCGATTTTCAAGTGTAGCAATTTTTCTGAATGAAAATCTTACTGGGGTGGTACTTTAGGGAGGTCGTTTTTTGATTTTCCCAGAGGCTGTAATAAATAGGAAAAACAGGAAAATTCACGAAATGTATTATTTTCAAATCTTAAATATTACAGCCTTTCAAAACATATAAGTATAATCGAACTCCCTCAAAATCGTTTTTCATTATCAATAATTAATCGTTGCATAGAGATGGTCCACTCATCGTGCGATGTATTTTCTTTTGTTTTTCTGTCTAAAATTGTCAACCTTGCCTATTACTGCTTTTAATCATTAGCTATCTTGTCCTGTTTCTCCAAACTCTGTTAAGAATTATTCTTATTCATTTTCCTTCGAATGCTACTTTCCGTATGGTTCAATGGTTTATACGACATAATAATATATATTTGTGGTAAAATCATAGATAATTCTTTATTATCTATGGAGTAAATCGAATGTGGATCATAGAGTAGTAGGTAGGTAGGTACTTATTCTAAGACTGTACTATGGACTATGATTATGGTGACCAGATAAAAAAATCCAAAAAAGAGTAAATTTTAAAATGTAGGTCCTCCATTATAAAAAAAACCTCTCCCTTAAAATAATTGGCCAATGTGTATTAGATTCTGAATGGAGCGAAGAAGCTTATGGTTTTCAAAGATGTTTATTTTAGATTCCAAGTATAGCGAGGGAGCTATTGGTTTTACAATGCTCTTTATTATTATTTTTTTCTCTTCTTCTCATTTTTCTTTGTTCTAGTCTGAGGACACGTTTTTTTCTAGGAAACTTGATTTGATTATTTTAACCTGTAGCAACTTTTCTGAAAGCTCTAGTTGTTTAGATGGTACTTTAGAAAGGTTATTTTTTATAGCACTAAAGTGGGAAAAACGTATGAAAACGTACAATTTCACGATTTCATTATTTTATAAAAACACGGACGACGTTTTCTACCAGAAAAAATAATTTAATAGTAAAATCACAAGATACCTTTTTTATTGCTTTATTGATTTACTTTCTTACGGTATCATCCTCAAAACTTTTGAGCTTTTAAGGAATTTTAATTTTTGGGAGTTTTTTGCTGTAATTCGGTTATAAATACACGTACAGACTTGAAACTTGGTAATAATACTTATACTGAACTTACCTAGGCGTGATACAATTTTCAAAATCATCAGATGACTTTTTTTTTTTAATAAACGTTTAGAAATTAAATTTAAACGAAAATCGCAAAAAAAAAAAATACGAAACTTTAAATTATGTAATACTGAACTGCGTTCGAAATTTTTTTTTGTCAAGCAATGGTTTATCGTTGCTTACATAAATAGATGAACTTCTCATTTACAACAGTAGCCGCTCCCATCCTCAGTATCAGCTCTTTTTTTTTATACTGTAGCCTACTACTTTTACCTTAGAAAACTTGCTCCGATGTATAAGTGTATCACCTTTTCTGAAAGCCAATTTTATCTACTTGGCAAATACATAGGTCATTTTTTTATTTTTGAAACGGTATTTAAAATAAAAATGATTGACCGGGAAAAAAAATACGTTTTTTCACGATTTCGTTATTTTAAATAAGTACCTACCACGTTTTCTAGCACAAATATGGTTCCGATTGAAAAACGACAAGAGACCTCTTTTGTTATATTATTAATCTTGTTTATAATGATGCTGTTCGTTTTCTTGATTTTCGAATTAGTTATCACAATAATCGGGAAAAAACGATCAGGAAAGCGCCTGCGCTTATTACATTCTATAATATTACAGATTATTACTTTAGTTTTACCTTTTACCTATTTGAAAATAGTGAAACTAAAAATATCAATGCATATTTTGTATTTTATTTTTACCAGATGTCTTTTGCCTGGATATTTTCGGTACAGGTTATTTTAAACTGGATCAAATATCGCCAAATAATGGATATTTTTTACTGGACCAAATGACGTACACCCTTAATAAGAGGGTAGATAAGCAAAAAAAACTTTTTGGATTCAACACTGTCACTCTTTGATAAATTTCCTATGGGCGTCCATGCCCACAACTGCGGTCTCATCACAAAATTATAGATAATATTATCTATGGGTGATAACTATAGATAATAAAGAAATATTTATTATCTATGTTTCTAGTGTTTGTGTGATTAAAGAGCTTTAATTCTACATTTCATATTTGGTTATTTACTTTTTATGTAAGCTGATAGCGTTGTCGATCTTAGTATATGGATGTTGGTGATCTTGCATTCTTGCAAAACGAAATCTTCCTTTTTAGTCTTTTAGAATATTGAGGTAAAACATTACTCTTTAGTTTGGTACTGGAGAGATGTGAATAAAGACAACATAGTTATTGTACGTCATGTCTCACATCGATAAATTTGGTCTGCTCGGTGGTAATTTCAAAAAACCACCCCAACGGAAAACCAGGTATTTACTTAATATTAATCCATAACTAGACATCTCTGTATAAAATGTTTTTGGTCGTTAATTTAGATTGAACCGTTCACAAGAAGAGTTGACCCCTTTACCTTGGCATGATTATTTTGAATATAAACGTGTCATTAACATTGATGATAATAAGTTTACAACATATTTATTGGGCAATTTAGATTCTGTTCTAATAGTTTTGCTCCACGGAGGAGGATTTAATGCTCTTACTTGGTCAATTTTTGCTGTAAGTATTCCTAAAACAATATGGCCAATTTAAAGTATTAATATGTTAGTAATTATTATTATACCTATTGATATTACTTACCTTTTTAGTATATTTTTATTTCTTTGCATACTTTGTTTTTTAATATATATTGTATAATCATATAAACTGTGAAATAATATTACCAATGTATCCAAATAATATTAAACTATCTATGCATTTACTATTTAGAATATAATTTTTAAATTTCAGAAAGATTTTAATTTAAATTAATTTTATATTATGTGTATGTGTTACGGATACTGGATTTTAAATACTCATTTCAATTACTTTGGTGTTGTTTGGCTTTTTTTTAAATATTATTACTTCATTGAAAACAATCATATCACTGTATTAAAAAAATAATTTATAATTAAAACAAATTATTATTTGTAATAGTTATTTTATTTTAAATATTCATAAAGTTAATGCTTAATGAATGCACAATATTGTTTTAAAGTAATCAATGTACACATATTATGGCTATTGTATTTGTTTAAACCAAAACACTTTTTTCTTAAAGTATATACCAATGCATACTTCATAATTATTTTAAAATTATTATTTTTAGAAACATTTAGTAAAACAGTGTGAATGCCAAGTTTTAGCAATTGATCTACGAGGACATGGCAGTTCATTTACTACTGATGATAATAATTTATCAATGGATACTTTTACTAAGTAATATACTTTGATTTTTTAATTCAGAATATATTTTTAATAAATTTATATACATTTCAGTGATGTGATAAGTATATTACGTAAATTGTATCCAGATAAAATGCCATCAATAGTTTTGATGGGTCACAGTCTTGGTGGAGCTGTTGCTGTAAATATAGCTTCTACGGCTGAATCTGATTTGCCAATTATTGGCTTGGTTGTTATTGATGTAGTTGAAGGTTCAGCAATGGAATCTTTAGCTAGTATGCAAAGTTTTTTAAGAAGTCGACCAAAATCGTTTAAAAGTTTACATGAAGCAATTGCGTGGGGGTATATATACACTAAATAATATACTTATATTTTATTTAGAACAGTTATTTGTTATACTAAAATTTGGTGTCTTTAGAATATTATTGATACTGAAATAAGTAATTTGTTTAAAGTATATGTATGTAATACATGTTTAAGTATTAAATATGCATAAATTGTTTTTATGTATTTATAAATTAATTTGGTATGTTTAATATTAAAATTAAAATTTAACAAGTCATTAAAACATTGACGGACATTACTGCTATAGCAGTAAAATGTAAAATGCCATATTATGTCAATACTGCTGAAGCATTAATCTTTTCAATGATATCAAATCATAGAAGACAGTGGACTGCCACATTTCGATAGTCTACTGACAATTTACGTAGATTTTGGATGTGTGTATAGCACTTTTAATATAACAGTAAACATATTTCAAGTTCCGTCAATGTGTTGATGAATTATTGTGTATGTCAATTACTTGTTTATATTCTTGTTCATGTATATTTTTAGAATGGGAAATGGTCATATTAAAAATAAAGAATCTGCCCGAGTTTCTATTCCAGGACAGATAAAAAAGTGAGCTATTAACAGTAGTATAATAATTGCAAACTGAAATTTATTAAATTGTAGTGATTCAGAAGGATCAGTTGTTTCATTATTATTTGGACAATATACTGTAATTATTTAATACCTTTATAAATTATTATAATCTAACCAAAATTATTTGGTTAGTGGGAAAATATTGTTTTCTAGTAAATATATCATTAAAAAAATGGCATTTCTGATTTTTCTGATTATTGAATTTATATTTTATACATATTTTGTTAAATAATAAATAATAAAACCATTTTTACGGTTTTAGTATAGTCACTGGTAAACTTGCTACAGATGAACTTGAAGAATCAACTATAATTGACTCACCACAATCCACTGAAGAAATTAACAAACCTCCATATTCATCGATAGACTCTATTAAAGAAGATGAAGAATGTGGTCCACCATCATTATCTGTCAGCTTAAAATATAATTGTCTGGTTTTTTAAACATTTATTTTTATTTTTATTATTTTCCAGACTGAAAAATCATTGGGTATATATACATGGAGAATTGATTTGTGCAAGACAGAAAAATACTGGCCTGGGTGGTTTCAAGGTTTATCGAATAAATTTTTATCCATTCATGCACAGAAATTATTGTTATTAGCTAATATTGATCGTATGGATAAGGATTTGACTGTTGGTCAAATGCAAGGTAACCTAAATCAAAATTTACATTTACATATCTTTTTGTAGTATTTTAGAATTCCTAATGAATATTTAATATTTAGTTTTATATTTAAATAATTAGGTAAATTTGAAATGCAAGTATTAAATAGAGTTGGACATGCTGTACAAGAAGACGATCCAGATAAGGTTGCTAGTATATTGTCAAATTTTTTAGTACGCAATAAATTTGCAAATCCAACCGGAGATTTTATTCGGTATGTCAATTAATCAGTTTTAACTTTTATTTAAAACAAATTCAGAAAAATATGATCTTTTAAATTTTGTTAATTCATTATAACAATTTTAGGAAAATAATTATTTTTATATTATTTAAGATTGTCATATTAGTTGCATATTTTGATTTAAAGGAAATATCAATAAATGTAAGGTTACCAAACAAATTGTTTAATATACTGTTTATGATAAATTATTAAATATTTCTTCAGTTATTTTTAAAATAAACTTAGAGTAATTATAGAAAAATCTTATAAACAGATATCAAAATAAACAATATAATGTTATATAAATAAAAATTATTATTATGATAGTAATAATTACATAGTTTCATAAACATTCAATAAAACTACTTTTCTTGCAATTACGACAGTTTTTAAGATAATAGGACAGGATATTTTTTTTAAAGGATATTCCATAATATATTGTCTGGTTAATTCATATTATGAGAAAATTATGTGTATGATGATATTATTTTATTGAACACAAGATGATTTATTTTTATATTTTATGTTTGATTTTTAATTAACGGAAATTACATTTGTAATTCATGTGTAAACAAAATGTAGATTAAATGAATGAAATCACACTAGAATATTCATTTAATATATTATTGCTATATTTAAATTTAAATGAACCATTTTGTTTAGAATAAAAATGTCCGTTCAATAAAGTTATATTTTTTGAATAGTTTTTTAATGATTAATGAATTGAGCATTTAAATTTAAATTTATAATTTAGCTTTTGTTATGAAAATTATTAGAATGTCACCCATTTGTGTAACAAATGATTAATGCTATCTCCGCAAATAAGAAGTAATTACAATTTTTATATGTGGCTTTAATAAGAAATGTCAATGAACTGTTGTGTTGTTTTTTAATTTTAAGTATCTAACGTATATAACAACACAAACTGTTTTAATAGAGTAGCCTCAATTGACATTATTTCTATAATGCAAAAAATTAATTTTCAATTTAATTTAATTTAATTTTTTTATAATTAAGCTTTTTACTAAATTTATAATTAAGTTGTATTAAAATATAATATGCTCAAAATATTTTTACTGGATATATAAATCAATAATTATCTACATTTTTATTGCAGGATTCTTCCAGGTTGTTGAGTTTTTGTCAAATTAAAAGCTGATCAACTTTTTCAAATTCAATAAATAGAAAAGCTATTTTATAGTTAAAGTATTTATTTATAATATTTATATTTTTCATAAAGACTTTAAAACTACAACAATAACATTAAATTGTACAAATATCAAGGTAACAATAATAATAAAAGACACAATGTAAGCAAAACATCAAACTGTATCCTATTAATAAATATAAAAAACAAGCGTTTATATAATTTTATATGCTTTAAAAAATGATTTTTTATACTTCTTTTCCACAATTTGCACTGTTAAGTATTTTTATTAAAATCTAAATGTATTACAATTGTTTTGAAATTTACTTTTTTTTTGTTACTGTTAGTTAAAATAAGAAAACTAAATTTTATAATAAAAGCATTATGAATAATTAAATATGTATTAAATGCAACAAATTATTCAAGTAATTAAAAAAAGAAAATATCTAATAAAATAATACTTAATATATATATATCTATATATCTATGTATATAAATAGAATTAATTAGGAGTTTTGATTTCATGTTTCAAACAGACTTTAAACGCATCCCATCCTTCATTTTTTGTATACGACTAAAACAAACATGAAAAGAAATGGACAATATTATATAATGATTAATAATTAAAAACAATTAATAAAATAAATACCTTAAAACCTCTATTTAGACGATCTTTCATAATAGCAATAAATTCCCTATAACTTAATTGACCATCACCATCCTCATCAAATATAGCAAACACTGTGTGTACTAGATGTTTGCTCAAGCTGGTTCCAGTACATATTTTGACAGCTCTATGAAATTCATCTGTAAGGTAAACACTTGTCATTGTAACATAAAAAATGTATTATAATTATTATTTAAAAGTAAAATAAAAAACCATTTTTTGCCAATGTATTACATATAAATGTTGACAAGTTATAATAAAATTAAAATATGTTTATGAGAATACTTAATGTACTTCATTGACCTACCAGAACTCAGTGCATTGTATTTATTATTATTATTATTATTATTATTATTATTATCATGGGTACAAAAGTCAATGGGTCAAAAATAAGTGGCAACTGAATTTCGGTAAATTTGGTAAAATTAAATATATATATATAAAGTATATTTGTATTATATCATTTTTGAAATACTTTTATTACAAATCATCATTGATTAATAAATAAAATGAAAAGAAAAAATAGAAATTTTAAAGCCATATTTCAATAGAACGATAGTGGGGGTAATGGAAAATATAGTGCATAAGACTTTTTTAATTGCTTATAATAACATAATTATGAACAATTACTCATGTTATTCAATATTCAAAGGCTGTTAAACAATTTATGTAAAATATTAGTATTTTGGTTATTGAACAATTTGATAATTGGTGCTTACGCCCAATCAAATCATCAATATATAATCTACACTTGATCATTTATTTTAACTCTAAAGAAAATTGATTCAAACCCTATTTTTTTGGTATTGGCCTTATTATTTATTTTATTAATAATTACCTTTAGATATAGGGTGATCAGCAAGTGTGTACATTCTCATAGCAATAGTAAAGTCCTCTAAATTGTTTAAAAACTGACAAAATACTTTAAATTCATCAAATGAAATGCCTGGTGGTATGCCTTTGTCCATTTTAATTCTCTCTAATAGTCGATCCAGATATGTGTCACACCTATTATTAAGTTTAACCTATAATCGATCAAGTATACAGAATTAAATTTTAAATTATTTACAGGTTTGTATCCAAGTGTGTGTATCTCAATAAAATTTTAGCAAAATCCATTTCGCTTATGGTGTCTCCTCCTTTGGCAAATTGTTGGAACTCCATTTCAAGAACTTCTGTCTGCAGATTTTCCATAAAACTAAAAAACAACAATAATAAATAATATTACCGTCAAAATTGTGTAAAATTTTAAAAAGCAATTTTGGCGCCCCCTCTCCCCTCGGAGAATGGCGCTCTAGGCGACCGCCTGAGTCGCCTTACACTCATGTCGGACCTGGGTGGGTATATGAAAAGATAAGAATGGATATTTTTTGCACTGCGTATTTTACTACGTACCTACATAATAATTTAAGATATCTGATTTTCACTAAAAGTAGCGAGTATATAGAGATTCAAAACTATTCAAATCAAAATTTAAATTGAATGTAAATAAAATGCTTTTAATGTGACGAGTTACTTTCTGAAGTCTTCGTAGAGTAGTACATTGTCTCCTTTTTTCCCGAAAAAATGAACAATCAACGTAGTATCCACCAAATGTTTTTTTTGTAAACCTTGAGCGTCATCTACAAAATCATCTTCGTCTACTTTGTTCGTGTCCACTTTATCGTCTTCCACGCCATGTTTGTCTTTCCACGATTGACCGAAGATTTTTTCCATCTAACAATAAACATTGACCGCGTATTGAGTTATAATTTTAATCGAATGTTCAACATTCGCAGATGGTTTTTTTTCGTTTAACAAAATATTCATGAAAAAAGATTTGAAGCGTAGCACGCAAATGAATACAATTATGTACACTAACACATATAATATAGGTATAGTAATGAAGCAAAGCAAATAATTTAAAAATACATAAAAAATGAAATAAACCGACCAAATCATCAGCGGAGCAATTAATGATATTTGAATCCTCGTCTGATGGCACTCGTCGGACGACAGCGGCTTGTTTCGTGGATAATTGGGACAACTGTAATTTCACATTTATAGAAACCCTTTCGAGTCATTTAAGCGACATAATATTTCATAGGTACCCGTCACCACACACCTTATCAAAAATGTCCATTATTATTTATTTTTTAGCTCAGGATAATAGGGCGGCGGGCGTACAACTTATTATTAAGTAGGTCGGTACTTAGGCATATTATAATAATAGTGTTATGACCAACAGTACATCGATGCTGCAATCATATTATCGACTGGTCTTCGAGAAGTAAATTTTCTTATACATACTTCGGTACATCATATTATAATGTAATGTTACGGTTAATGTTGTAAATCGGTGGTAAATGTCGTTATATTTATATTCTATGTACATGACAATCGATTTTTCGTCATTTTAATATAAGAGCGTACTTAATAGCTTATTATCAAACTTTAAGTTAAGAAAAAAAAAATATATGTATATATATACGTAGGTACGTACGTAAGTAAGTAACTTCATTAAGTAAGTTTTTTTTCGATATTTTAATGTTCAAGCAAGGTATGAATATGAGAAATATTCAAGTATTATAATAATAATATAATATAATGTATACATATTATAATATAATATTACAAAAATTATCAAATCTAGATTAAATATTAAAATATGCAAAAAAAAAAAAAAACTAATGTAATATGTATAAACACTGAAAATGTTCTTACCTTTAAGTTTGATAATAGGCCATTACATTATTACACTTTAATATTAAAATTAACAGCACAACATTGATTAAAGTATAAATATAACGACATTAAGTAACTGAATTTATAACATTAACCATAACATATACATTAATATTATATACTTGTCGAAAACGGATCGACTTCTGATGAAGGAGCGCGGGAGGAGATCAACCCCATCCAATACATTTTTTTTTATGAATTGTTTGAAAGAGGACTTTGAGAAGAAATATAGTTAAATATAAAGGATTTCAAACATGAACAAATCTGATGAATAGAAGCACTGAATCAGAAATGGAATGGTACTATAGTAGGTAGGTAGTAGAGCCTAGAGTTGAAAAAGTAGGCAATATCTATTGCGTGATCAATTAAAATTGTTCTAAAATAATCACTGGTTCACTAAAATTTTAACTTCTTAAAAATGTGACCTTTCCACCGGGTTATAGGTATTTTAATGAGCCTCCTTGAAGTCGTGTTCATATATATTACGTGGATCATTGATGGCTTGATTGTAGGATAAACAGTAGGTACCTACATACTACATAGGTACTTACTCAAAGCAGTTCATAAGTACACTTGGGTAAAGGGGAAGGTAATGAAGTTCGACAAGCATATAATTTTATTATAATATAATAACAGACAGATGGTACATATTATATTATGATGCTTTTAATAGGTACAAGTTAAGCTAGAAGATTAAATAATAGAAAACGAGAAAAATGATTAAAGTAGTATATATGAAGCAGGTTATTTTTTGTAATAGATATCTTTTTTTAAAATATTTTATTTTAAATTCCATTCCATTGAAAAAAAAATAAATTGATGTGTACATCACAGAGTGTAATGCTATTATTGTATTATTATTAAAACGTCAAAACTATAGAACTAAGACAGAATATTATATTATCAGTCGTGTATAGCTGGTAACAAAGAAATGAAATGACCAACACAAGCATACATGGACATCGATGACAGACAACAGACGTGCACAATATTTGTTGCGAATGCAGTATTATATTCTACAGAATCATATTATTATAATATATATGGTCATCTATACTGAAAGGATTTATTTTTGACCGCGGTTCGTACTGATTTCTTTGATTTTTACTAGTAAATCGACAAAAAAAAATTAAAAACTTTGTAGAAGTATATTAACATACGTTAATATACATTAGATTATGATACCATTTTCCATACCTAGTAGTTAGTCATTTTGCTAACTTATCAAAAATAAATAATTAGGAAAATTGTTTTATTTTGATGTCAAGTTTAAATAGAGTATTACTATATTATAATTTTATTTTAACTTTGTTCTAATTAAAATGGTTACACCCACCACACCAAATATATTTGAATGTGATTTGATATGAAAAATGTTAATTTTAAGTTAAATATATTTGAATAGTAATTTATGATGTTTGGGAATTAAAAAATAAAAATAAAATAATCACCACTTACGTACCTATCTCATTGAGTTATAATTTTATTCGTTGTTGTGGAATTATTTTATATTTGTAGTGAGTGGTTTTTATAAATTTCTTATATCTTGTTATTAAAGTAAAATATATAAGAGTGAATAAATAAAACGCAAAACTGAACACAATAATTTAAAACGAATTTGTTTCAGAACACATTTGAAATATAAATATGAAAACTTTATGTAAAATAACTAATTTATAATAGTGCTAGTGCGTAATAATAACAAGTGAATAGATATATATCTAAAATAAAGCAAAAAATAAAATAAATCATAAAAAAAAATTATTTTGTCCCCAGTTCATAATTCAATTTAGGTACGTATTTTTACAAAATATAAAACTAAAATATGTAATTTTTTGGAAATTATATTTAAAATTCTTTAATTTATTATGAGATGTACTTAAAGAATTAGATTTTGAATTTGTGTTAACATAACTTTTTGATAATGTAGGCTACTTTATCATTTTCTTTTTGATTAAACATAAACTATGTAACCTATACTTTTATTATACATTTTTAAACAATTTAAATAATATTCAAATTATTAAGATTATTTCATAATATTTAAATAACATCTCATACATACTTTGACTATTCTGTGATACAATGTATAGTTTATAAACTGCATTCTTGATCTAATTTATTAGTAAAACAAAATATAACAATATTGTTTTTAAAAATGTTGGTTACATGCACAAAAAAATGTTAAGTAGATGAATGTATACATATTAGGTACCTATGTGTAAGTGTAATAAGTATTAACTTACACATTTCAATAAGTAACTCATACAAGTGTGTTTAATGTAAGGAAGTTAATTAATACATTTTATGTCTTGTATTAATTTAAGTTAGTCTGTGACATTAATCTTCCCGTAAATATACAAATAATAAAATCTTAATTTCACTGCACTACCCTATTATCCATACTTAAAAAGTGTAATAAATAAATAACCATAGACAACTCACTCACAATTTCTTTAGCATGTTTACTAAGATCTATTCTGAGGGCTGGTTTTCCAGCTAGGAGCCGTGTTATCTGATAAAAAAAAATAAAAAAAATAAAAAAGTGAAAGTAAAATTATCAGTTATTGAATATAAAAGACTCATCACAAAAGTACAAAAACATAACAAATTTGTTGTAATTATGACTCCGTAAACTTACTTAGTCTCATTTATTTTATATAATTTGTTCTAAACAAATAGTAAACACTTAATTTAAATACTTTCAAATCCAAAAATGGTGATAAATGGAACAATTTGGTTGTTTGTAGAAAATAAGTCTATTAAAATCTAGTAAAATCACAATGGAATTTAATAGAATGAGGCTTGTTTGCTAGTTTTATAGTTTCTATAGGGTGAAAAATTATATTATTTGAGCTCAAAAAGATAATAATTATATCAAAAATATTACCGTAAAAATACGTATATTCCATACATGCATTATGAACGTTAAACCCCCAAAAAAAGTTATTATGTTGAATAAAAAAAATAAAAAAATAAAATGATAATGTAAAAACATAAAAATGTAAGATGGTGAAACATGCAGGATATGTAACTATACCAAGGTGTGAAAAATACAGTAAAACGCCGATTACTCGGTAGTTCAGTTTTTGCGCTGACACCACTTATGAAGATTGACTTTTATTCTATTCAAATGAAAACATTGAACTAAATTAATCGCTGTATTACTGTATTATTTAAAGTAAATATTTATAGGTGGGTACTACAGTACTATACTTATAATATTAATAAAATACCGTGATTATGTTAGGGTATTATGCAACAAATATTCTTACCACCAGAAATTCATTTTTGTCTACTCTATGATTACCATCCGTATCAAACATATTAAATGCTATACGGAATCCACTTTGTGGTTCTATAATCAAATGGTTAAATAAATCAATAAAAATTAGCAATTGAATTAGAATATTTTTTTCAACTTACTGGTTAACACGGACAATAAAAACAAATATTCTGTATAAGATATGATTCCTTTGTCTCTGAGGGAACGAAATAATTGCGAAGATCCCTTTTTTAATACAGGAACTTTGTTCCGAATTTCTTCTAAATCTTTTTCCGTCATTGTATGCCTCTTAAGTCGAGCTAAAATTTTTTTTTCAAAGTTTAATTTGTAAGATTTTAATAAACAGTTTTTATCATAAATTATGTAACAAATTTTATTGAAGAAGGAATGACACATGATACTAAAATATTCACACTATAAACTTTCTGATTACAGTAGGCATATCAGTTGAGGTGGTTTACGACACATTATGTCTGAAAACCCACCACGTATCACACATTGTATTATCGTCCCACATTTTTAAAATAGTTTATAGATATATCTTTAATAATATTAATTATTAATATCTTTACTAATTTTCATAATAATAATGAACACTTAAACTAATTAATTTTATAAAGAGTCAATGAGATGTATTTATACCTCTCGGTTGTTCATCAACAAACGATTCTAAAAAGTCTTGAGGAGTCATATAAAGTTGTCCATGGTACTCAACTGAAGCGAACTTGATGAAACGTTTTTCGCGCGATGTTAAGTGCAAACCGCTTAAATATTCATCGTCTTCTCTCTAAAAAATAAAAATTAGAAATAAATATGTTTTAATGGCAATACAAATAGTTATTTAGGCATTTTAAAATTGCAGAGTACAATATATTTATAATATAATAAAATTTTATTAATTTGTATAAACACTTTTGTATTCTATTCAGAATCTAAAATAAGTTTAAAATAATGAAAACAACATATAAAATATTGTAAACTTTTACATTCTACTCAAAGTTTAAAATATCAAAACAAACAATAAAGAAAATTAAATTAATAAATAACTGAAATTAGTAGATAGTTAGTTAAAGATACAAGACATAATTAATATATTTATAGGTAATGCTGTTATATTGTTTATTTTTTTGTAAAACTTACATGAGTTGGTTCTGTATCGCCAATAAATAAAATAATAGACTTTTTCAGTTAACATTAAAAATTTTAATATTTTATTATACTATTTCCTTAGTTTAATAGTTTAGCAAACTTAATCATATTGTCTGGTTTATTAATTAACTTCAATTGAACATGCATATTACATGTAAACATAGTTCATTTTAATTATTTGTACATGGGTTTTCAAGTAGAGATGTTTCAAATTGTCGGTTGATTATTAAATAATATCCAATAATTGATTAATATTTCTTTGATGAAATACCATTTTATAACAATATCAAACGCATTTTTTAAGGTTATAAATATTAGATGTAAAGAAAAAATGATGATACTACTGATTGGTGTACCTTGTAGGCTAGAAGTTGGGTAGGTAATATGCATAATGTCATTTAATTTATAAGTATCTAAATGTAACGATAAATCATTGCTGACAAAATACGATTAACCACGTTTTGAAATATTGTGATTTTAAGAATTTGAACTTGAAATGGTTTTAAAAAAAATATTATTACATTAAGTTCAATTTTATTTTTTATTATCAAAGATCCTAGGTATTAAAACTCTCAAGCTTACCTATAACTGCTTATTGTCAGCAGCAGTGGCGTAATTTGGTGATGCTTATGGGGGGGGGTGTTTTTACATTTTACCTATTATCCCCTCCCAAAAAATAAATAAATTCTAAAATATAAAAGCTAACTAATTCCGACTAATCAAAGTTAGAAACAAAATCATTGAAATATGTTTACTTTATGGAATTATAAAATGTAAAATTAATTATAAAAGAATTTAAAATATTGACATTCAATTATAAATATATGGATACTGTTTACTGTTGGTCAGATAATTTAAGGTTACTAGATATATACGCAGTAAACTACACAACATATACTGCGTTTTTCTCTAGAATATATCATTTACTACTTATTTGTCTAGCATTCTTTAGGTAGATACTACATATTTAAATCTCATTTAGAGGGTTTAAATAATGTTTTACTGCATTTTAACCTAGAAAAAATCGATGTGAAATGGCCTAATAAACAATAGATATTCTACAATAATCTCATTTAGACAAACTTGTCGGTTACTGCCTTTCACTTTGGCAGGACAGTACGCCCTCGCCTTTATTACAAAGTATTTATGTACAGCTAGCAAAAGAGATTAGAGTTTTTTTTGTATTATTTCTATAAAATATTATAATAATATTTATAGTTAGATATTTAAGTACATAAATGTAGTTACCAAGTTATTTTAAAAAAAAAAGGGTCTTGAGGGGATAAAACACTCAAATTCCTCCCTCTGTAATACCGTCACTGGTCAGCTGTCTTGTTCTGTATCTTAAAAATCATATCTACTCTGTTTTACTTCTACTTATTCTTAGTCCTGTATTCTTCGCGGATTGTCCGGAAATGAGACAATCCGCCAAAGTCTAATTACGTACTCTTTAAATTGTTTAACAGAATTATTTCATCGGTTGTCGTCCCTTACGACAGGACAGGTAGAAATACCGTGGGAATATTCTAATCCTCACCCACAAGGAGTATGGTATTAGCAACTATAAAGTGAATTCTTCCATCCTACAGAAATAATACCATATATGCTTACTGGAACCACACCTTTGAGCACCCAGTTATTATTTATTTTATGTTGATGATTACTGTAACATAAATATAAAAACTTGTATCCATAAATATTATGACTACCTATTACGAGAAAATTCAAAATTTTGTTCATAATATTTTCAATAACAAGGTACCATTCATTTTAGTATTTAGTTTGTTCTTTGAGTGTAATATTTCGATAGTTGGCCAAGTGACGTAACACTCACTCCATCAGAGATCGATGATTTAATTGGTTATTATAAAACTCAGAAAATTAAACTTTAATTCAATTCTGTTCAAGCCCAGATTAAGAGGGGGTCCAGGGAGGACCACTAGACTCCCAAGGCTTCGGTTTTTGTCACAATTTGTACTTTAATGTTTTAATATTTTTTCGTTGCCTGATGATGACTTATTCGTATTATTATACAATACAAACTACTATACCAAGTGACTGTTCAAAATAATGTATTTATTTATTTGAATAATATTTGTGGCTTTTGAATTAAGATCGATCTTTATGGTATCTATACTATTTATTTTTTTTTTTTGTTATAACATATTGATTAAAAAAATGTTTAAAAAAAAAAACCTATAATTATTAGTCTTTCACCGAGAGCCAAGGGGTCTCTAAATATCTTAATTCGGGCTTGATTCTGTTGTAACTAGAGGTATTAAAATCCACAACCATGTTTCACAAGCTGCAAGTTAAATAATGTTAACAAAAAAACGATAAAGTTTGTTTACAAACAATGGTCACTTTGTAAATGGCCGACGGCATCATTGTAGTGACACTCAGCATGCTAGCTATCTAGCATTATATGTCTATGATTATAAAAAAGTACAATACATTACGCTTATTTCGATTGTAGCAAGATTAAGTACGTGAATGTGAAATGTGAATAATGTGATATTGTGGGTAACGCGATTATGTTGTGATTAGAATGATAACGTCGTAAATTCGGCCGCACGCCACAGCGTCTAGCGATTTTTATATCGCGAACGGTAAGTAACGAAAACTGAACCCCAGCTGCCAAAATTAAGTGGGTATCACAGAAATATACCAAACAATCGTTCCGAAAAGATTTTTAAAATATTGGTCGTAAATAAATGTGAAAGCGAAACTGATTGATTCCTTCCTTTTTATTATGTTAGATTTATTTCCCACACGTGGGTCATTCGACAGCAATTCGTTTGTCAACGAACGCGTCGAACAGATGGATTATCGTCTTTAGTCTATCTAAGTTTCTCGGAAAAAAAAAAATACTGCATCTGTACCCGGAAACATTTCAACGCTGTAATGTCAATGTATGGATGGAAAAATACGTGAACTATACAAAGAGTCGTCGTTCAACAGTTAAAATCGTCTTGATAAGAATAATATTATAGGCATATAAATTATCAAACGACTATTTAAATTAAACACTTTTACTGTTTTGTATTAAAAAAAAATAGTATATACATATGTATGTGTAGCTTGGCGATTGATTAAACAATCAATCATGATGTCACGAAATGTACATGATGTTGGGTTTCACACGACTATATGATCTCGGAAATAAATCTAATGGGCCGTTAAAATAAAAGCTATCGCGTAGACATCAAACTATTAAGGTTACCAACAAAGGGATAGTTTTTTATTTTTTATTGTATCTACACGGACCCATGCCTTATTTAAAAATTCAAAACGGTGAATGTATAGTACGTAATCGTTGACAATTTATGATCTCGTGGTTTTGTAGATGGTATCCGGGAAATAATATAAGTACATTATAGTATAGTATACGTATGCTGGATGCGTAATTCAATGTACCTATCTTATGATAATTTATAATATCATGATGTAGTTTTATTTCAGTTACAAGGATACAATACAAATAGTTTTGCTTCGGGGCTGTTGTACAAGTTGGGCGTACGCTGTAAGTGTTAACGTGATATCGGTGATAAACCCGAAAAATTAACCGTAGAGTTATATATTTCGGTAAAACTCGATTGGTTATCTTTAAAATTATTTAAAATAACGTCGGGCGAAATATTCGCGTCTTTCAAAGCGTTTTTACTAACCGAAAAATCGTTTACCGTAAAAAAAGACATAATGCGTCAGTAAAACGTGTAGCATCATTTTGCTACAGCTACACTCGGAATCTAAGACACGGATTTGTAGTGTGGCGGCTGCGGGGAAGAGGGCCCGCGCGAAATTTACCAAACAAATTATCTATTCCTCTCCCCTCCCCAAGAACAAAATCATGACTTAACTACGTCATTGGGACTATAGGCACCCGGAGGGAGGAGGCAATACGGGTCGTTTGTCCCACTCCCCCTCACTCGGCTATGAATATGGCAATACATTTGTCATACATAAATAATTTTTCTGTCGGTGTTTTATCGAATTGTACACTGCATAAGGCGTGAAATATTGAATTTTGCCCCCGTCCCACTCAAGAAAAACGTTTGCGGGCTCTAATGACCGGAGCGCAACGGATAGGAACGATTGGAATTGTTTTTACGGCGTTTTTGCAGACGGTCGGTCGGCCGGCCAACCGTTTCGCGGAAACTCGACTTTCACTGAAGAACCGCACGCGATTGGTCCTCGAGCGATGTGGGCCTGTGTTCAACGGTGAGTTTAATTTCTTTTTCCACGAATCGACGGCAATTGCGGAAAAATAACGGGCCCCCGCGGCCATGACGCGTCATGATTTCGGCACGTACGCCCGCGATAATTTTCAGACTCTGTGTTTTCGCGAACGGTCGCGTGTCGGATGCACGGCTGTGAATATGTAATGTTCCGCAGTGGTTTTTTTATCCCTCGAGTTCGCGCGGGGGTTTTTTTTTTTTCTCTCTCTAAACTTCGCTTTTTCACGGTTCGAGTGTGTTCAATAACGCAACTATAACGGAATCAAATTAATACGCGGCGTTATCGCGACACGTATCGTTCGGGTTCGTCGAGTTGTACGACGGGCGCCGCGGTCAGCGGAGTTATCGAAACCGTATCGCCGGCGTTCACACACAGGTTAGTTATTTTTTTTCTATAATTTTGGCGATAGAATTCGGGCGCCGAGTGTACACGATATTTATATTTTCATTACTATTATAGGTATTTTGCCCTACATGATAATGTACATTATGATTATGACGGACGATCTTCAATAAATAGATATTCAACTATTATTTCAATTTGAATTCCAACACATTTTTAATTTACAATGCTGGTATGCACCTAATATCAGTGTGTTTCCCAATATGCATACCTATGTGAATAGACCCAAACATTATATTATAAGGGGATGAACTGACTACGTAAAGATAACATCAGTGTTATAACGGCCGTTTGTCGGTAGACACCACAGGGTATTTTTGTCGGCTATTTCACTACTTTTAGATATAGCTATAATTGTTTTATTAAATGATTTAACAAAAAAATGTGTTTATCCGCCACATATACCGATTTTGTTACAATGTTATCGTCATCTTTAATAAATAATAATAAACGTGCACATACTTGATGGTAGTTATGAGGTAGGTAATCTTTTAAAAAAAAAAAAAAATAAAAAAAAAACATAAACTTAATTTAAATATTCCGAATTTATAGTGATACATTGTATCATAAATGATTAGCATACGAGTCGTAGGTACCACATTATCTATTAAATGCAATTTATAGCTGTGTTATAAATTATTATAGTACCCATACAATATTGAATAGAATACTAAGTAAAACTATATGGCTACCTACGAACATATAATAACACTCATACACAACGTTTGTAGAAGAATTAAAATACATTTTCAATAGTTCAATCTATATTTTGGGTTTAAATTTGAAAAAAATTCGATAAATATTAATATTAATACTAGGTGAATTGGATAGGTTAAAATGTAACAAAACTGATAAGTACCTACTAAAGGTTCGAATTTTAGATTCTGAGCGAGGCGAGGAATGTATTGATTTTACAATGATGTTTATTTATTTATTTTTTTAGCTGTACACGACATTTCTACCAGAAATTTTACTCCGATTTTTATATAATCCTTTTCTGAAAGGTAGTTTCATCTGGGTTATCTGAGGTATCTGTGGATTAAATTGTTGGACCAAACAGACTTAAACAAACTTTAAAATTGAACAGGAGTTTAATTATAAGTCGCACTTTGTAGTAAAAAAAAAAAATTAAGTATATAGTAGAATCTTTTTTATAAAAATTTTAATATCAAATTTTGACATAAATCGTTAGTATTATGACCTTTCAAAACATGTGTGACCGAACTTCACTCAGAATAATTTTTTGTTAGAAATGATTAATCGTTCCGTAAGTATATACATTAAATTCCCTATATATGCTAACTTCCCAACTTATTTACAACAGTGGCCCCCACCTATTGAGCGAAATATGACCGTTTTTTTAATATTTTACATTATTTTTGTACACACCATAAAAATAGACATTAGGTAAAAAAAAATAATAATAATAAAAACGATGGTGGCTAAATTAGAATTGTTCCGAGGTATTGTTCAAAATTGAAATATTAGGAATGATACCTCAAACTTTTCAAATTTAAGACATTTGAATATCAAAATTGAAAGTTATAAATTTCGATGAAAATCAAGTTTGAATACAAAATGAATAAGATACTGACAGTTTTATTTATATACTAAAATAACATTAGTAAGTTTTATGATAATATTGATTGTGTGGAGCATCACCCTTTTAGACTTGGAGAGTAGTAAGGAATATATTGGATTTACAATGATGTTTATTGTATTTTTTTTTTATCAGTGAATGATTTTTATACCAAAAATCTTGCTTTGATTTTAAGTGTAGTAACTTTATTGAAAGTAAATTTTATCCGGGTGGTACTTTAAGAAAGTCCTTTTTTGACTTTCCAAGCAGTTTTTATAATAACTGGGAAAACATAAGAAAAATGGAAAATTTACATAGGTAATAGGTGCATGTATAAAAGAAACTTCATTTTTTCGCATTCATTACCAATGTTTTATAATTGGGTACAGATATAAATTAAATTCTCCTCTAAATTTTAGCTTCCCATCTTTTCATCTACAACAGTGACTGACCTACCGTGCGAAGTATGCCCTTTTTCTTTTTTTTATAACTAAACCTAATTTATTAAGTTTTGATTTTTACATGATTTAGCATATTGATACCATGTATATTTAATACCCCTTTTAATACAGTTATGTGTTAAATTGCATGATATTTTTATTTTTAATCGATTTTAATTCAGGGTAATTACTACAACTCAACAAAATTATGATTGAAAAAATAATATTAGGTTGGCTTATATAATTATATTAATATGCATGGTACAGATTTAAACTTTAAAAATTAGTATAACAGTTTAATATGGAGACAGAAAACAAAATAATAATAATAAAATATAGAAAGTTAGGTAATATAGAATTTATGAATTTATATAGGTACCATATCCTAATTTATAATATATTTACACCATTTATAACCTCCGATGCTCTTCACTTCTGTTTATAGTTAAGTGTCTCACTATTTATATTTCTTAAGTGGTGTGAGACAATAATTATAATAATTTAAATATAGGTATGAGAAAATTTGGTAAATTCCACAATCACAATGATTAAGGAGAACAATACTTTTCTCTATAGTCAAAGGGGCCTATGAGTTACCTAAAATAATCACCAATTATATTAAATAACATTTATCAATCCGCATTAAGCATTAACCAAGACATTTACTCTTCGTAAAATAATTACCTAGTCCTTTAAATTTCCATTTGTGAGTGTTTAATATATTATAATATATATAATATATAATTAATATATAATTAATTTATTACTTAGTTATACATTTTAAATTATGCTTGCAATTTTGTACAACTATTTTAGTGTAGTGGACATCACGTAAAAAATAAACGGTAGACGCCTAATCGAATGTACTGTGCATTATAATACACAGATAACTAAAAAAAAAAATGTACGATCTACTTCATGAAAGTAATAATTTAATGTACTTACCTATTAAAATCATACTTAGTTATATAAAATATTTTATAAAATTAATAAAATGAGTAGTAACAAATAATATTATATTATATTTTACAGTATCTTCATGAAAACCATTAGACTTTATATTATTGATATAGTTGTACTTTTATAATATATACCTTAGTACTTAATAATTATAAGGTACACAAATTATTATAGTTTACAAGATTTAAATGATGAGAGAAAGAGAGAGAGAGAGAGTCAAGTTAAGTTGTTATAGATATATTAATTCAAGTTAATTACTTTCAGTGGCAATAAATAAAATCAATTGATAGATAGGTAACTAACAATTAACGTTATTTATTTTATAAAGGTACTACCTAACAAATGCTATTATCTAGTAATAGTAGTATAATATTACCATTTGTTTTATAAAACCAACTGCTAAACCATAAAACCTTTGTAATAAATATGAACACATTATATAGAAGTATGTTAGGAATCAGTTCTAGATTGGTTGCCCCAAATAATTAATTAATTATTTATGGTTTTTTCTATATATTTAATATTTAAGATAAAATTATAATAATCTTAACATTTAAGTTTATCGTTGAGTATAAGATCATATTTTGAAACTATTGTACCTAAGTCCAATTCATATAAATTGCATTCATGTTTACCTACTTATTTACAAAGTTGAAACATAGATACATATATGATTAGGTTTACTTACTCTTTTCCTCGAATAGGCATATGCTTTAAAGTCTGGTAAAAATCCATACGCTAAAAAACTTATAATTCCGGCTCCTGCAATTCCAGTAATTCTTGAATATTGCCGCAAAAGAAGAGAATCTGTGGAAAATCGACGACCAGTTGGAATACCATTGATTTTACGTAGTCTTGTTAACTGTAAACTATATCTTAACACTTTGGAAGTATTCATGATTTTAGTGTGTTTATGAACAATAGCTAATTAATTTAATTTTAAGCAATTTGAAAATTAATACAATAACATTTTGATTTTGGAAAATCCAATAAGTAAGTAAAAAGGTTAACAATTTGTTAATCCAAATTCCATTATTATTTGTTATATTATTGATAAGTAGGTAAATTTTTGATACGAGACAGATGATAAAAATATATATGACTTTATTCCCTCCATAGACAATTACTAGATGGCGATAGTGTAACACCGAACAATTTTGACATATTAATTGGTAATGTATTTTCGTAGGTTTTTAGTAGGTATTTCAGATAGCAGTGTTAATAAATTATTAGCGGAGATTTGATGCATTATTTTTTTGGAATAGACTAGAAAAAATCCTACGCAAACTTTATTAGTGTTTATTGTATATAAAATAAAATAAAATGATCCTTAGATAATCAGGGATGTAGCCCCCTTATCCCATTCCTCTCTCACAAGGAACATAATTAAAATGAAATAATAAGTAACTCATAATCAGTATAGGTATTGTTTGTAGGTAAACCGCTGTTTGTAGGAAATTCGGAAGTTATGATATAATATTAGGTACCTATGTAGAGAGGTAGCAGGGGGTAGCAGGGCGTATTTACGGGGGGGTTTGGGGTTTAATCCCCCCATTTGGCCGTTTTCGACTTTTTATAAAACCTGTAATCATATGCGGTTATTTTGTTGTTACTTCCGGGTGTGGCTAAAAATATTTGTTGAAGTTTAACGAGTTCGGTATTTGGAGTCTGTTTAATCACACGTCAAGATCGATGTTTGGTTTACCGACTCTTTAAACGAGTTTCAGCAATCCTTATCAAATTTTTTTAATTTCATCTTGTTCACGGATTTTAAAACATAATACAATGCATAACGGGTACTCATACCTAAAACCATAAATCCGGATTTATTATATTAGTACACCTAACTGTAGGTCGGTCAGTACCTATACCTTTATACTATATTAACACACCCATTTTTGTTTTATACATATTATATTTAAATCGATTGTTTAGTAAAATATAATAGGTAAACAGAGTTCTTAATCCAACGGATTAACTATTGTTATTATAATTTGTTGTCTTTCTTTAAGGGGTTAAAAAGGTGCACGATCATTTCGTACGCTTTCCAATTTAAAACAGATATAGGTAATGTTTATAAAATCAAAATTATATCCATCTGAATACATTTTTGATTTTTAAATGTAGGTACATAGTAATTAACATTTTGTCAAATTCTTATCACATACCTTATTTGAACCTAAATATATTTGCATAATATATAATACCATATTGTGTTCTATTCTATAAATTGGTCTTCAAAAAATTATTTTTATAATTTATAATATCTATGTAAATAATAAATACGGTATGATTTTGCCAAATCGAAAATTAGATTAAACAAAAAAAAAACTAAATCATTTATTGTCTATTATAATACTTTTATATACCTTTAGGAGGGCACTTATAACTTTATATTTTAAATCTAGTAAGATTTATTACACATTAAATTATGAAATGGCATAAAAGAAAATGTATTATGTACAGTTCGAATTAAAAATATTTTTGAAATATTCATATTGTTACACACGTTCTTTTCTTGTATTGAAGTTACTTATATTATATACATATGGTTAAATTTTGTGAATCTTATAGGCTTTATAATATTAATACTATGCACCCCTTTTTCGTATTTATATATCTCTAGTCCTTCGCGTCATCTCTAAAGCTCCTTTCTATGTTTCAAATAATACCCTTCATTCCGACTTCAATCTACCCACCGTCACTGAATTAGCCAAACTCCACTACAAACGATTCAATAACAAATTAGCACGTCATTCTAATCCCCTTATCGCCCAAATATCATCTGCAACTATTCCAGGAAATACCAACAAAAGACTAAAAAGAAAATGGTGTCGTGACCTGCTTATATAATATTAATTAAAAAAAAAAAAAAATGTATCACTATTACCGCGATCTTTGTTAAATAACTATTATGTATTCATTGTACTATATTCATGTTGAAGTACCTCCAATGGGAGGCCTCTTCCTTCAGTCTCTTCTGTCTGTTTTTTTTTTTTTTTTGTTTTTTTTTTAATTATCACTTAAGCTTATTGTTCTAATAGAAACAGATAGCGTAATATAGAATTTTGTTAAATAAATAATATCTCTAAAGATTTTATATAGGTAATTGACAGGGCCGTCTTTAGACAAAACTGTATACATCGGCGAAATCGAAATTTGCCGCCCTTTTTGTTTTATATCTCTCTATTTACCACTTAACCATATCATATAAGTTTAGTTATTATAATTCAATAAATTGAAGTATAATAAATAATGATAATTAATATCATGAATTTATCCTACGTACCTATTATTTTTAGACAGCGGAACTTGTTTACTATTCAAAATTATGAGATCGGATAACTTTAATAACATGTTTTCAATTATTGAAAGCACAAAGCATTTTTAAAACATTGAAGTATTGACAGCATTTACGACCTAATTATTATCGAAAAATAAAAATACCGATTAATAGGTACTACACACATACTGTAGTATAATTTAACAATTATTATCCAAATTATTCAAAAATATGGTCAATATGCTATACCAATGGGTACCTGTAAGTTTTCAGCCGCTGTTATCCAATGGGGTCTCGGGCCACGAAAGAGTGACGGACGAAGAGCAAATGATATTATTGAAATTTAGCATAATAGAATAATATATTATTGTACACGGCTGCTACGTATTCATAATATTTACCAATGCGAAAACTATGTTTGTATATTATATAACATGTTAGTATACGTTATATTAATATTAAGTTTAACTTTTTTTTTTATGCTCATCAGTATTTCGAAACGGATTTTCAGTTTCAACGCTAGTCTAGGGACCAAAACATCCTAAATACAGTCTTGCTCACACAAATAAAATGCCTTATGTTATATAGTGCCGCCTCAGACATAGGTTGGTGTTGCCTGTGCCTCCCGCCGGCCCTAGACTTATTGGTAATGTAAGGTATTTAGATTTGTTTTTATTATGTTTCGTCACTGTTTGCATCATAACGAAGACGAATTATTTTATAATATCAAATTAGACATTTATAATTAACAAATTAGACGAAAATTATTGATACAGAAAATATCCGGTTTTGAGTAGATGACATGCATTTTTATACAAGTTGACTGGAAAAAAAAAAATTAAAAGTATAAAATAAATGTGCATACGTGCATACTGACATGCGTGCAAAATAAAAGTAACCTTGGTGTAGTGCAGTATACCTGTGTGTGTATTTTAGCAACGTGGTAATACAAATCCGCCAAAAACGTGACGAATTGAACGGAATTTTCGTATGAATCAGTAGTCAAATCTAAATACTGCAACAAAATTTAATACTCCGGTGGATGTTTTTTGGAATTTTCATTAGGCGTCATGGTGAAATAAAATCGAGAGCTTTGCTACATAACACCTCCCCTCCTCCTCCACCAGGTTTCAATGACAGTGTTAACCTAACCTAACCTAACCGATCAATATTAATATTTAAATATATTCTAATACTTTGGTAATATCATTTTCGAATGTATAGAGTAATTTTATTTACGTTTGTACGCAACGATTAGTTAAATAGTTGTTGCCAACGACCAACAATAAATCCTCGGAGTTCGGTTAAACGCGTTGTTAATTCTGCGGTTTTTGCAAAAATTTGAAATTTCGACGCGCATACAAATATTTACTTAATTACGTAGGTATTTATTTTTTTTTTTGTCAAATTACAACGAACTTCGTGTACAATTTTCAAGAATTTCTGTTCGAATAAAACAATTTTTATTAAAATAATCCAATAAAATTTTTAAAAAAACTTCAAAGATTTTGAATTCTAAGTCTATAAAGCGCTAAATATATATATATATATATTTTATGAGAATATTTACCTAACTTAATCTAATCTAACTGAATAATATCGTAAATAAAGAAAGCAGGGCATACTTAACACCATGAATATATATATATATATATCACTGTTGAAGGTGGATAGTTGGAAAGGTTGAATATTCCAAAGGGTAATTTAGTTTATAGCTATACTGTGTATGTAACGATAAACCATTGCAAATTAAAAACAATTCTGAGCAGAGTAGTATTATTTGTGTTTTTCCCATATTGCTTTTACACCTTGACCTCGAAAATAAAAAAAAATTAATAAAATATAAAATCTACAAAAATAATGATCGAGGTGAACTTCTGATAATCGTTTCAAATTATGTATGTACCACCAAACTGAAAGTCTGCATTTTTAAAGATATACAGCATGAAAAAATAATTTTTACTAACCGAAAAAGTGTTTTCCGAACACGAGTTGAAAACTCAGTTGTCGAAAATTGTTTGGTGTCTAATATAATATTTTTCCAATTAACTAGTCCATGCCTTGGACGAAATGATAATATACATATCATCATAAAAATAAATTATAATAAACCATTAAAATGGCTGTTGATACTTTATTTATTAGTACATTATAATTGAACTGCTTCATAATACTGTAATTAATTCTATAAAATGTTAATACTTGCATATAAGTAGCTAAAACAATAACATGTAGGTAATACACATAATATACAATATGATTTTTCTTCAAAAAATTTGAAACAGAATTTGAAATATTGATATGAAATATGAGAAATGAGAATTGAAAGAAAAATAGTTTTTCGAAGACAGTAAGTGAATATTTTTAAAATTATTTTAATAGAAACTCATTTCATTAATATGTTTGGGCGTTATAAAAAACCCCCCTTCTGATGTTATTAAAATATTACCTACCTACTAGGTTTTAATGTATACACTGATATACTTGTATTATAGTCATTATACTGACCTTACTCGAGTATCGTGATAAAATAACAATAAATCTCGCTTCATTGAATATATTATGAATATGATTCACAAAAATCTCTGTTAAAAACATTTTAATTATATAATATTATATATTAGTGTAACTATATACTATATACGATTTGATTGAACTCGATATGTAAAATTATGTTTAGTATGCCATAAAAAATATCCAAGTTTATTTATATTGTTGTATATATATAATAAACTCCATTAGATTGTAAAGTCAATTCATTTTT